AGGTCTGAGCCAGGTGAGTACTTTTGGCCTGAGGGCTCATGGTCTCAGAACTTCTTGTCTATTCCTGAACATTCTCCAGAATTTTAACTCCAGAAACACAAAAGGTACTTAGCCAAACAATGTAAGCAAGCCCCATGTCATCAGGTTGGCATTCCTGCCTCCCCACCTCGTGGCCCACAGTACAGGCAAAATGACACTGACTACCTCTTGCCCAGACATTTCTTGGTGAAATCCTTGCAGCCACAGTCTGAGGCCTACTGCGGTGAAACAGGCTTGGGCTCAGTGTGTAGAGTTAGGCCATGAATGTTAGAAATGGCCACGACTCCAGGCAGAGCTGCACATACACAGGCCAAGCAGCTTAACCTCTCAAAGATGCACGATCTCAGCAGGGAGGATGCTGTCTGCTTCACAGTGTGCTTGAGAGGACTGAGTAGGTCACTGTAGGTGGACCCTGCCCAGCCTGGCTCAGCCCTCAGGGAAGGCTTCTGTATGAGACATTCCTTGAGTTCAGCCCATTCTCTCCAAGATACTGGGGTGAGTTTTCTTTGTGGCTTGTGTGGAAGACATGACAATACACAACTTCATCTTTATTGCACCTTCCCAACAGATCAAAGCCAGTATTGTTTTGTGGGGGGCAGTATTGGAGATTAAACCCAGGTGTTTTTCCACTGAGTTATATCCCTGGTCCTTTTTATTTTTCATTGTTACCTTGGGTCTTGCTACATTGCTGAGGCTGGCCTTGAACTTTTGATCTGCTTGCCTCAGACTCTCAAGTTGCTCAGATTACAGAAGCGTGTCACCATGTCTGGTCCCTTCCTTCTTAAAACTTTTGAAACAGGATGTTTCTGAAGTAATCATCAGTTGTGCTTTTCCCTAGTATTTCTTCTTCCTTTGCTTCCTCTCAAACAGAGCTCTCTCTGAGGAAGATGCCTTGGCTTCTGCAGGGTTGTGACAGGTTGGAAGTGAGTGTTGACTAGTCCGGCTTTTTGTTCAAAGGCCTGACATCCTCCAGGAATCTCGGAGAAGACAGGGAAGAGAGGGCAGGTGGGGAAGCCGTGGCTGGGGCAGCTCTGAGTTCAGGAGGGCAGACTGGGAGCCATTAAGGACTGTGGAGAGGCAGGGCTGCTGTGGGGAGGCTGGGCAGATTCTTGTGGCCACATCTGGCACAGGAACAGCGAGGGCGCAGGCTGTGTGGGCAGAGGACCAGAGGCTGCTTCCCTCCCCCACATGCCTTGGCATTTGACACCACCTTAGGAAAAAGGATGGAAGCTGGAAGAATCGGGAGTTAATTTTTCTACCATCTGGGCAGGAGAACAGCTTGAAATTATAGAGGAAAATAGTTTTCATTTCTGCTCATCTGAGCTTGTAGTTTGAAATTCATAACAGCTACATTTATTTTTGCCTGTTTTACATGCTGTGAAAAGATCACGTTTTCCATCTTATATTTGTAATTACATTTTACCTTTTATTAAAGTAACATAAGTAAGTTAATAGCCGAGTGTGTATTACAAGCTTAAGTCTATTCTGAGTGGTTCATGCTTTAACAAACACTTTATGAGGGACATGGCTTGCCCAGGGCCAAAAACCACTGATAAAATTTTTAGCTCCAGAACCCACATTAACCACTCTGCTGAGCTGCTTGTCCCAGAGAGTTAAAAATTAAAAACTGATCTACAAGGTTGTGTCAATAAACAGCAGTCTTCAGTCCCAGAGTGAAGCTGGGACATGAACTGTGCCTCTCCATCACTAGGTCAGGCTACCTCCCTAGGCTCTGACAGGGAGGCTATTGCACTAACAGGGACAGTTTTGTGGCTTTCACACACATCATTTGACCTCTTCATTGGTTCTAATCTGCTGAGGTGAACTAAACGCAGTTGCCTTCAAGTTTCCCTGGAGCCTGGGCTCCCCTTTGTCTTTGCCAAGTTTTCCACTCCTCTCCTGTGTTCCGTGTTCCTCCCTGACCTCAGCTCTTTGGTGCTATTTCTCTATGCTGCCCTAGTTTGGCAACACTAAGGGTCGGCCACTAGTGAGTCTGCTCTAGAGGCTGGTTTTGTGAATCCTTCTGGGACTGCATTATTTCATCCTGTCTCCAGGGCAGGATCTAAAGAGTTCATCAAGGGAGACTTCAAAACGTCTGTGTGTGAAAAGAAACCTTTCCCTTCTGGCCACTGCCTCTTCTCTCATGATCAAGGCATACATTCTCCTTTTATCCTATGACTCCTGGGCCAGCGATCCTGGGGTTCAAAGATGGGGATACATTACAAAGTCTTGCATGCCAAAAACTTCCTCAGCCATCCAGAAAAAACATCTCTTCATGTTGTAATTCAGGTAATACCAACAACTCACCTCTGGCGGAGCTCATCACAACAGACACAGGTTAAAGAAGATAATTATTACCCAGTATTGGAATAATAGAATGTGACATGCAGCAGGCCAGCCCCTGGAAAACCATTGCTTGGCGTCACTCGTCACTCATTACGCCATGAGAGATCTGCATTGCCTCCTGAGCTGGCCTTTGGGGCTGGGAGGTCAAGTGTGGCCTGGGCCTGACTGTCCCAGCCAGCAGGGGGCAACAATGAACTTGGCAAGTTGGGCTGAGACCCAGGTGGTAACTCCCACGGCTGTGCAGGAGAAATGCTCAATTCTAACTTAAGAAAAAAACACAATGAAGTTAAGTTTCATAACTATTTAGTGACACTGTGCCCTCACTGGAAGGATCATGGTTCATCTCTAGTAAGATCAAAATCCTGAGGGAAGAGAGGCAAACCCACAGCCCATAACCAGACTCTGACTTCCATGCCACAGATGTACTGGCTTTGAGATACCAAACATGTTTCCCCTGTAAGAATGCTGCTATTTGCACTTGGAAATCACTTATCTAACCTATTTGTGAGTTTCCCAAATGAAGGCTTTTAGTGGGCTTTGAACTTCTCTATTGAAGTGGTAAATATAAAGAGGCACCTATCCCCTGTGGGGTTATCTTGAGAGGCAATCTGGAGCTTTCAATTGGAATTTCAGAAAGTGCTAAACTATAATTTAAAATGTTTCTCACTTTGCTTTCAGGAAAACATATTTTAGAGCAAAAATATATTTTGTACTATTAACTAATAAATATTTTAAAGACATTTACTTCATTAACTCACCCAATATATTTCAAATGGGTATTATAATGTACAAAATAAGGAGCAAATGTTCTTTTAGGTCAAATTTGTAATAAAGATTCCTAAATTTTTGGAGTCATGGAACTCAAGTTCTGTTCCCATTACCATGGCAACACAACAAACCCCATTAGACTCAGTAGTGTAAACAATCACCTTCTTACTGGGCTCGTGGATTTTGTGCTCAGAAACTTGGAAAGGACACAGGAAAGATGGCTTAGCTGGGGAAACTTCAAAGGCTGTGGCTGGAATCATAATCCATGTCTGGCAGCTGATGATGGATGTCGGGTAGAACCTCAGCGAGGGCTGCTGAAGCACTTGCACATGGCCTCGGCCTCATCACATGGCCACGTGGCTTCTCACAGAATGGTGGCTAGGATTGAAGACTGATCATTGGAGGAAACAGGAAGTAGAAACTACCAGTTTCTTTAAAATTTGAGCCCACAAACTGGCACAGCATCATTCCCACCGTATTCTGTTAGCTGAGCAACCACAGAGCCCATACTAGATCCAACCAAAGAAGAGTATCAGAGGGTTTGGGGAGCATGGAATAAAACTTGGGCAGATTCTGAGGTTGGGGCTCAATCCACCACCTTGGGCTGTCTGGCTGCATAAGGATGTCGTTTTACAAAGCCTCCAAGTTTCTCTTTTAACCTCTGAAGTGCCTTAGCTTGGCTGGTATTTAAATTCCTCAGGAATTTCCCCTCCTGGGTTGACCTCCATGTCTTCCCAGGAAAACCAAGATCCCAGGAAAGGCCCCTCCTCCTGAAGCTGTTCCACTTGGACAGAGGCCTAGCTCTCCAGTGGGTTAGCTGCCCCAGGGCACTGCCAGGCTCTTTCTAAAATTCATACCCAAGTTCTAGCTTTTACCTGGGAGTGTGTGGCAGGAAAGGGAGTGACAAAGGGGAAGGATGAAAAAATGGTTGGGCTGAGAGGCCCCATCATCAGAAATCAGGTTTTTTGTTTTCCCCTGTACAGCCACTGGCTGGTTGGTTGTGTCCAGCTTGGAGGACCACAGTGAGAATCTGTAACTAAAGAGCCCTCTGGGATTAGGAAGGACTGAAATTGTATCTAAAAGGAGAGAAGGAAGGGTTCCTCAAACCACAAAAGCCAGCCGTAAAACCAAAGTGACCCACATCTTCATATATGCAATTGACTGTCAAAGGGAAGAGAAGAGAGGTCCTGTGCTGTTGAGAGGCAGAACAAGAACCAGCAAGTCTGTGTTCCAGGGAGGCAGTTCCTGAGGCTATTTTGTGGCAATCTAGGTGAGAGACACTGATGGCAGTGAGAACAGACCAGAGATACACTTTGGAGAACATGTGACTTTGCAGAAGAACTGGCTGGGGAAGGTGAGGGAAGAAGGTGGTGTCCAAGACTTGCATTTGGGGTTGGGCATTTACAGTAACTTCTCAGTTTCCTCCTCACTCTTAGCTACTCTGATTCTACAAAATTCCAAATTATGGCAGGTGTCTCTGGGATGAGGAGATGAAATTATCCTGTAAAGAACCCCTGGGTGAAGGCTGCCAACATACACGGCTGGGCTGAGGCTGGGCCTCAGGGGGAATGACAGGCAGTTTCACAAGGTCCCCACCCTGTCTGCTTATCAGCATCATCTTCTTTCACCTTAGATGAAACTGCTGCTACCAGCTCAACCGCTCAATCACTCCCTATGGCTCTGCCCACCACTGTCTGTCTCTCAGTAACTGAGCAATACATCCTTGAGAGCCTGTAGACCGAGCACATGGGGTGAGGGGTGACACACCTACACACAGGCCATGGCACCAGGCATCCAAAGAACCTGACCCTCCATCACTGTGACAATCTCAGGTCACACCTAGGAACTTGCTGATTCAAACACATTTATTGAGTTCATCACCAAGGCTCAGGAGTCTGGGGTAGGAGTCCCAACAGGAAAACCAGGGACTGGTTAAATGCATGGAGGCAGTACCTCTCCACTGCACAGTTGACACCTCCCACCCCACTCCAAATAGAAAATGGACAGAGGGACAGAGCCATGGTGCATTAGGGAGGACAGGGGCTCATGGCTTCTCTACCCATCACCATCAGGAAAGGTAGGTGAGAAAGGCAAGGCCAACTCTCCAAAGGCCAGGGCTGGAGCCTGAGAGGCTTTATTTTGTTTCTTTCTCCTTTTCCAAGTGGTCATGTGCTTCAGGTGGGGAAGATGGAGATGGGGAGAGGCCCATTGTCCTGTCAGAAATCCTGTAAGGAGAAGATAAAAGGACACGTGAAGTCACAGCAATAGACCAAAGTGCAACCAGAAGGCTGCATCCTCAGCTAAAAATTCTAACTTCCCCTCCTAAAGCTCCAGAGACAGCCAAAGTGCTGCTCGAGGGCACACCAGCTCTGCTCTGGGTATACCTACCTCAATGTTCAGCTCTGTAGTGTCTAAGAGGTCCAGCCCGGGCTCACTGGAGGAAGAGTGGTCCCCAGGTTGCTAGAGGAAATGGGGTCAAAAGTCAGAAAGGACTTTCCCCATTCCTACCCATCATGTGGAACCAGCTCCTTTTTCAGCCTCAAAAGGACAGCACAAGGGACCACACACCAGGCATGACAGAAGTGCCTTCTCTCCTGGCCTACTGAGCCCCTTAAGAGCCTTCAGCTTTGGAACCAGAGAATGGAAGTCTCTGAAAGAGACCTTGCTTGCTGGTCTTTGGTATGGAGTGTCACTGTCTGGAGCATGAACAGCCTCCTTTCCCCTGCTCTCCTCTACTATGCTGTTTTTTCCCTTCCCCAGAGGAGAGAACAAGAGAATGACAGCAGAAGACACACATGGCTTAGTCTGGGATGATGTCCCCCTCAAATCTATAACCCACAGTTCTAGGTATGAGGAGGTAAATGCCTTTGGGAGGCATTTAGGCCACAGGCCAGAGCCCTTGTGATGCACATAGTGCCTTTATTAGAAGCAGCAGCTGGAGAGCTAGCTTGCTCCTTCCCCCATGTGAGGACACCAGTAGTTTCACCAGAAACCACTGTGCTTATTAACCTGAGCTTTGACTTCCAGCCTCCAGAGCTGTGAGAAATAAATGCTGTCTAGAAGCCACCAGTCTATGGTGCTCTGTTAGGGTAGCCTGAACTAAGACACAGCCCTTTGTTCTCTACAAGGTGCTTGTACTTTGTAGTTTGTGTAACTGAGGAAATGGAGGGTGAGAGGGGGCAACAAACTAACTTGCCATGGAACTGAGGGCTGGAGCTCAGGTCCCTTGAGCTCCCAGATCTTTCACTCTAGACTGGAACACTTCTCCTGGGGAAGTGGGTGGCCAGGGCAGAGAAGGGACTGTGGAAGGACAGGGATGGGGCAGACCTCTTAGCAGAGGAGGGAGGAGGGGTGTGGCTGTGTCAGGGAGAATTACCAAATGGGCTGCAAAGGTAGCCTGATGACCTTCCACCCTGGCTCTAGGGCTCCTTCCAATTCTTAGAAGGTTCAGAGGCAATAATACTTATTTGGGGACAGAAAGAGAAGTGCTATTCCAACCCTTTTTGCCATTTTTAACCCACTCTGCTACTAGGATATTTTGTTTAAACTTTGAGTCAGGGTCTTGCTAAATTGCTGAGGCTGGCCTTGAACTTGCAATCCTACTGCCTCAGGCTCCAGAGCAGAAGCTATTACAGGCATGCACCACCAAGCCTGGCTCCTTATTTCTTTAATAAAAGCAGTCTGCAGTAATAATCCTTCCTTCCTTTTCTCAATGTTTCTTTCAGAAAGTCCTAAGCAAAATTCAGAGCCAAAGGTATCCACAGGGCCAAGAAGAGAATCCCTGTGTTCCTCCCACTAACTGGCCTGAAGTTCTGGAGGAGGGGAAGGCTGGGTTCACTCACCTTGTCAATATCCTGCCATTCTTCACTTGATTCATCCAGAATTTCTAGCTCTTCTTCTTCATCCTCTTCCATAAGGCTGAGTCTGACAACAGTGACAGAGAGAGGGGGTTTTCAAACTGTTCTTTAAGGGCCCCTGAGAATTTCTCAAAGGTATCCAAGAAGTGGGGCTCCCGGTTCTCACCCCTGCTTCCGTGGAAGCAGTTCTTTAAGTTCTGGGCTTTCACACTATGCTGGAAGGAAGTATTGTGGGGTTAAGGCAAGTCCAAAAAGAACTGGCAGAAAAACACTGGCCAAGATGAGAATCCCCTCAGAGTGGGTGACAGATGTGAAGCAAAGATGGAATTGGATGAGGAAAGCTCACCGAGTTAGCTGGTTGCCATGATCAAGGCCTGAAGGATTGTTCGGAGTCTGGAAATACTGTGTACCCAAGAACCTTGACCTTTGGGGGCCTGAGAGGGGCCGGCTGTCAAGAATGAAGCAGGATCAGTGACAGGATAAAAGTAAAGGGTAAAACAAGGAGGCTGGGTGGCTGGCATCAAAGGGGAGAAAAGCTTAAGAGTATGGGGGGAGACATTTTAAAATTAAAAAGAAAATAAAAGGACAAGCCTTAGAGAAGCACCCAAGGTGCCAAGTGGAGGGCACCCTGAGGGGGGACACACAGAAACTCCAAAAAGTAGCCAGCCTGATGCTCCCCTGGCTCACTCATGGGTGAAGTCTGATGCTGAGCTGCCTTCTTCCATCTCTCCCAGCTCCTCCAGCAGAGGCCTGCTCTTCACAGTGGTGGAGGTGAGGATGGGTGTGTGCAAGAGGCTAGGCAGCTGCAGGCTCTCTTCCTGGGATGAGGAGACATCCTCTCTGTGAGGCTGTTTCACTTTCTCAAGACCTGCCCAGGATTTAATAAGGGAAAGTTAGGAAGAGAATGGAAAACCTATTATGATTCATTCTGTTTCATCTCAAAAATGAACAGAGTCCCGCTGTCCTTTGTGTAACAGTATAAAGCTTGCAGGGTTGTATCTAGGCTTTGTCCAAGAAAAGTTTACTACACAGCTTAGAAAACCAAGATGGAAAGATATAAATATACATTTCATAGATAAACAGTTAACTCATCAAGATGAATGTGGAAGAGAGTTGGGTCTGCCAAGATTGAGAGGCCCAAGTTAAGCAACAAAGATCATCTGAGATCCTATTCGTTCCAGATTTCTGTGGTCAGAAAGAGCTTAAAATGGCAACAGAGTTTGGGATCAGAGGCCAGAGTGGATGTGTGAGGGCCAGGGAGGAATAGGAAAATGGGAGACAAGATTTTTGGGGGCTGGGGATGTGGCTCAAGCGGTAGCGCGCTCGCCTGGCACGCACAGGGCGCTGGGATCGATCCTCAGCACCACATAAAAATAAAATAAAGATGTGTGTCCACCGAAAACTGAAAAATAAATATTAAAAAATTCTCTCTCTTCCCCCCTCTCTTCTCTCTTTAAAAAAAAAAAAAAAGATTTTCTGAAAGCCTGAAGAAAGGAGGGTGGGGACGAGCAGGCGGGAGGGGGATGGAGGGAGACGGACAGAGAGACACAGACACACACACACACATGGAAATAGAGAGATATATAAATAGATACGACTACAATATCAGTGTAGTTCTGACAGAAAGGCTGAGTGGAGGACCCCTCCCATGAAGACTGCAGATGATGGACAGATTTTACCAGAGGTTTCCATTGCCTGAGAAAACTCAGGTGATGCTATTTTAAATTTCCAGTCAATGGACATTAATGTTTGTCAATGGTAAATGTCCACCCGCCCCCACTTACTCTCCTCCACAGCCAAGTTTGTACACTGAAACTTAACAACTCAATGTGAGCTGCCACTGGTTCACTTGAAGGGCTGTAGAAAATAGAGCCACATCCATGAACCTGTACTCAGAGAGGAAACTTTTGGCCTTCCTGCAGATCCTCCTAAGCTCCCCAACCTACTTATGGTATAAAGGTTTCTACTCTTTTCCATTTCACTGGTTTCCTTAGTCCTTCAGGTTCATGCCTATAAATATCACCTAGTCTCTGCCAACTTCCAACTGACCCTAGCTGTTAGCCCTCCCTTGAACTCCAACTTCTGATCTCCAACTGTCTGCCACACATCTGCACCTGGACGCACCGAAGTCCTGACGTTTCCCCACAAACTGCTCCATTCACAGTGTTCTCTTGCTCAGAGAATATCAATTCCATCCTTCCCAGTCCTTGGAGTCATCCCCAACTCCCCTTTTTATTTTATATCCAACATCTAACTTGTCAGGGAATTCTATCAGATATTCCTTAGTAATACTTCCAGAACCCATCACTCCTCGCTGCCTCCCCCATCCCCTGGTCTGGGCACTCTCCTCAAGTGGGGCAACTTTTCTAACAGCCTTCTTTCTTCTTGCTTGTCCCTCTACCATCAGTTAAGGGTCCCTGGTAGAAACAGACCATATGTTCTTCCAGTGGTTTCCTGATGCACTCAAAGTAAATACCGAAGTCCTTAGTCTGCCATATACCCCTAGGCTCCTGTGACCTCTTTGGTTGAAAATCCTATATACTCTGCATTCTAGCCATAGTGGTCTTCTCTGCTATTCCTTGAACACACCGGGAGCATTCCCTTTCATGGCCTTTGGACTGGCTGCTCCCTATTATTTTGATATACTTTAGGAACCCTCCTTCACTTCTGCTAAAAAAAAAAAAAAATGAATTAGGAGGCCATTAGATGGAGACGGTTTCAGTGCCTTGGATTTCCACATAGGCAAATCAGAACCCAATTCAGAGTAAATGTGCATAATTTAGGAGATCAAAACTTAAGCTTAACCAGTAAGAAACCACCCACTAACCTCTAACTAGATTTTCCACTTTAACTAGTCCCATACTTTCCTTCCTCTTATTTCAGCAAACACCTTTGGGAACCTCAGTCAGTGGAGTCCCTGATCTGCCTGTCTGGTGTTGCCCCCCTCATACACTGCTGAATGCTCAAACAACTTATGTTTGTTACAACATTAATTAACAAATTAATGTGCCCTAGCACATCTTGTAGCACCTCTTCCAGGTTTTTGCCCAACATTCATGTTCTCTGGGAGGCCTTCTCCTTCCTGTGCCCCCTCTGGCATTCCCTCACCTTCCTGCTTTTTTGCCACAGCATTTTTATCACTACCTGTCCGTGTTTACTGCTGTATTCTCACCCCACGGTGCTCAGAATCCACCGACTTAACAGCAGACCCAGTCTTTTCAATTTTATCACACTTTTACAGACCTTCTGCTTTACACAAACCTACTGAAACATCTATACTTTGGCCAACATACATCGTTCTATGTTGTCTGTGTACGTGCTGTTCCACTAGCCCCTCATGACCACATTTTTCCTCTGTCTTATATAATTCTTACTCATTTTTAAAGCTCCAGCTTAAATTCTACCCTCTTGGTAAACCTTTTATAGACCAACTAAACAAAAGGATACTTTCCTTCTCTGGATTCTATAGCATTCATTTGTACAAACCCTCAGGCAGTTATTTATTGGTGAGTATTCATAATTCAGATTTTTTCTGAAATGTATTTCCTCTTTCTGATTAGATGGAAGTTATGTTAAGGGCCTACTATACTAACACAGTGTCTTGTGTATAGTAGGCCCTTAACGTTTATTAGTTAATTGATAAAAGTAGAGTTTCCTAATGGTGTAAAATATAATTTCAGGTGGTATACAGAAGACATTAAAAGTGGGGCGCAATGGTGGACACCTATAGTCCCAGCCATTTGGGATGTGAGGGGGCAGGCTGAATAACACAGCAAGATCCCACTGCAAAAAACTCCTACCCCACCCCCCAAAGCAAAAAACAATAAAAAGAAATCACACCCTATCTCACACAATATACAAAAATTAACTCAAAATGGAGTACAAGGGCTCAGGTTGTGGCTCAGTGGTGAAGTGCTTGCCTAGCATGCATGAGGCACTGGGTTCGATTCTCAGCACCACATATAAATAAATAAAAGGTCCACTGACAATTAAAGAAACATTTTTTAAAAATGGAGGACAGGGGCAGGGGCTGTAGCTCACTGGCAGAGGGCTTACCTAGCACATGTGAGGCACTGGGTTCCATCCTTAGCACCACATAAAAATTAACAAACAAAATAAAGGCATTCTGGACAGAATATAACTAAAAAACGATTTTTAAAAAATGGAGCACAGATTTTAAGAGCTAAAAGGAAAAACAAAAAGTAAACAGGAAAAAGGAAGAAAAAAACAAAAGTAAATATTTTGATTAGGCAATGATTCCTTATGATATGATACCAAATGCAAAAGCAAAAATAGGTTAAGTGTATTTCATCAAAATTCTGAACTTAGGGCACTATTAATAATGTGGGAAAAAACACCTACAGAATTCAAGAAAATTACTGCATATCCTATACTTCAAAAGAAGATCTTATATCTGGAACATATAAAAACTCCTACAACCCAACAATAAAAAAACAAACAACTCACTTGAAGAATGAGCAAAAGGGGTTGGAGATGTGGCTCAAGACAGAGGGCTGCCTTGTATGTACAAGACCCTGGGTTTGCTTCCTAGAACCTCAAAAAACAAACAAAAAGCCTCCCAAAGGATCTAAACAGACATTTTTCCAAAGAAGATCAATTGTTAATAAGTGCATACAAGAAGCTCAATATCAGTAGTCAGAGAAATGCAAATTTAAACTATGAGATACAACCTTACAGTCATTAGGAGATGGATACAATTTAAAAAGACCAGTATCAGAGAAAAAGTGAAGAAATTGAAGTCCCAAATATTGTCTATGGGACTGTAAAATGGTATAGGTACTTTGGAAAACAGTTCGACAGTTCATCAAAAAACTTAAATGCAAGTTACCATATAACCCAGCATTTCCACTCCCAGGTACATCTAAGAACTAAGAAAATATGTCCACCCAAAAACCTGTACATGAATGTTTAACAGCATCACATATAACAGTAAAAAAAAAGATATTCAGATGTCAATCAACAGATAAATAAAGTAAAGTGAACACATACAACGGACTCTTGTTCTGTCACAAAAAAGAAGGTAACTGATACATGAAAAAGCACAGATGAACCCTGAAAACAGGCTAAGTGAAAGAAGGCAGATACCTAAGGCTACATACAGTATGATTCCATTTAGATAAGGTGCCCAGAACAGGCAAATTCAGAGACAGGGAGAAGATTAGTGATATTGTGTAAGACTGGGAGGATGGGGAGAAGAGTGACTGCTATAGGTCACCGTTTTTTCTAGAATAATGAAAATGTCCTAAAATTAAATAGTGGTGATAGCTGCACAACTTGATGAACATATTAAAAACCACTGATGTGTACAATTTAAAAGGGTAAATTTTATGGTATGTGAATTATATTTCAATAAAGCTGTTAATATTTAAAAAGTTACATTTTAAAATGTATGCTAGAAAACCCACTACTAGAAGGTCAAGCTGTGACCAGATGCTTGATGAAATATTTGACAAAAAAGGTTTGAAGGAGACCAAAGACCATCTCCTGATTATCCAAGCAGCAGCAACCAGAACTGCAGTGCTGGGCTGGGGTTCAGTGGCAGAGGGCTTGCCTCACACATGTGAGGGTTCGATCCTCAGCACCACATAAAAATAAATAAAACAAAATAAAGATTAAAAGGGTCAGACCACAGAGGAGGCCAGCAGCCACCATGTTGGTAAACTGACGTCACCACACCTGTTTTTGACTGACCGCAGCTCATTCAGCCATAGAACAGGTAATTTCAGGCTGCAATTCGCCTGCGGCTTGCAGACAGATTGCTAGGGTTCAGCGCCTGGGGGCTTCTTAAAATCTGATCTTATCAGAGTGAACACGGAGCGCGGGCGGCGAGTCCCGGCTCCCGAACCGTCCCGGAACCGCCCTGGCTCCGGGCTGCGGAGCCTGCGGAGGCTGCTTCTTGGACCCTGCTAATATCAGAGCAAACACGAAACACCAAGAAGCCGAATTCCAGCTCCCGGAACTGAGCCCGCGGGGACTGCTTCTTGGAGCTTACACTTATAGGAGCTTACACCGAGCACAGAGCGGCCGAGTTCCGGCTCCCGGAACCGTCCCGGAACCGCCCTGGCTCAGGGCTGCGGAGCCCGCGGAGGCTGCTTCTTGGACCCTGCTACTATCAGAGCATACACCAAACACTAAGCGGCCGAATTCCGGCTCCCGGAACTGAGCCCGCGGGGGCTGCTTCTTGGAGCCTACACTTATAGGAGCTTACACCGAGCACGGAGCGGCCGAGTTCCGGCTCCCGGAACTTCCCTGGACTGGGGCTAGGAGCCCGCGGAAACTGTGTCTCGGTCCGGGTCCTGCTGAGGGCAGGTCAGGACTCACCCATTGCTTGGGTTGCCTGGCAAGGGGAACGAAATGCTGCCATTCGCATAGGATACCAACATGGCAGAGATCTGATGTCAGCAGAAAGCGGTGGAGGAGAGATCTTCATCAATACCAGCGGTGACATAAGCAGTTGGTCTCCTGGTAAGGGGGGTGAGGCTCAGTCACCCGAGTCTCCTCAATTTGTCCTCGAGCCAGAGGGAAGGAGCCGGGCCGCCGCCAGCCCCCGGAGCAGGCCCAGCGGCTCGCCAGCGTGGTGACCGCGTGACCCCAATTGGAGAGGGGGCGGAGCGGAGCCGCCACCCACACCCGCCAGGTGGGCAGACCCACGACCCAGTAGTACATGGGCGTGGTAGGAGGGGCAGGGCAGAGCCGCCCTTCGCGCTTGCAAGGTAAACAGACCTGTGACAGCCTGGCGGGTCAGGCCCAGTGGCCTGCCAGTGTGGTACACACGTCACCCCAACTCGAGTAGGGGCAGAGCAGATCCTTATCCCACGCCCGGATCAGGCCCTGCCGGTGTGGTGGTCACGTGACCCCAATTGGAGTGGGGGTGGAGCGGAACCGCCACCCGTGCCCGCAGGGTGAGCAGACCAGTGATCAACCTGCAGATCAGGCCCAGGGGTCCGCAGGCGTGGTAGGAGGGGCAGGGCAGATCCGCCGCCCGCGCCTTCAAGGTAGGCAGACCTACAACAGACCGGCGGATCAGGCCCAGGAGCCTGCCGGCGGGGTACAAACACCACCCTAATTGGAGTAGTGACAGAGCAGAGTCGCCTCCCTTGCCAGGAACAGACCCAGCATCCTGCAGGCGGGGTAGTCACGACACCCCAATTGGAGTAGGGGCAAAGCAGAGCCTCCACTCGTGCCCGAAAGGTGGGCAGATCTGCGACCGACCAGCAGGACAGGCCCAGTGGCCTGCTGGTACGACAGACACGTCACCCCAATTGGAGTAGGGGCAGAACAGAGCCGCCACCAGCTCCCAGAACAGGCCCAGTGACCTGCCGGCGTGGTAGCCACGACACCCCAATTGGAATAAGGAGAGAGCAGAGCCGCCGCCCGCACCTGCAGGAAAGATACGCAAGCAGTATGAAAAGACAAGGAAAGAAAGGACCACAAGCAATGCAGGTCAACGCAACTTTAGAAGAGGTAACAGCTGCAGCAGATGGAATGTCAGATAAAGAATTCAGGATATACATGCTTCAGATGATCTGGAGTATCAAGGAAGACATTAAACAGCAAAATCAGACAATGAAAGATCACTTCGACAACGAATTACACAAACAAATCCAGGAAGCAAAGGATCAACTATACGGGGAGATAGAGGTTATAAAAAACAAGCAATCAGAAATCCTAGAAATGCAGGAAGCAATAAACCAACTTAAAAACTCAATGGAGAATACTACCAGCAGAGTAGAACACTTAGAAGATAGAACATCAGACAATGAAGACAAAGTATTTCAACTGGAAAAGAACATAGACAGCTCAGCAAGACTGTTAAGAAACCATGAGCAGAACATCCAAGAAATATGGGATAACATTAAGAGACCAAACTTAAGAGTCATTGGGATACAGGAAGGTACAGAGCTCCAAACCAAAGGAATGAGCAGTCTATTCAATGAAATAATACAAGAAAACTTCCCAGACTTGAAGAATGAGACAGAATCCCAAATCCTAGAAGCCTACAGGACGCCGAATGTGCAAAATCATAAGAGATCCACACCTAGACACATTATAATGAAGATGCCCAACATACAGAATAAGGAGAGAATTTTAAAAGCTACAAGAGAAAGGAAGCAGATTACATTTAGGGGCAAGCCAATCAGGATAACAGCTGATCTTTCAACACAGACTCTGAAAGCTAGAAGATCCTGGAATAACATATTTCAAACACTGAAAGATAATGGGTTCCAACCAAGAATTGTGTATCCAGCGAAATTAAGCTTCAGGATGGAGAATGAAATTAAAACCTTCCACGATAAACAAAAGTTTAAAGAATTCGCAGCTAGAAAACCATCTCTTCAAAACATCCTAGCCAAAGTATTACAGGAAGAGGAAATGGAAAATAACAATGAAAACCAACAGTGGGAGGTAGGACAGTAAAGGGGGGGGGGAAACAATCAAAGAGGAAAACAAACAATGTTTAGTAACAGAAATAAACAAATATGGCTGGAAGAACAACCCATATCTCAATAATAACCCTAAATGTTAATGGCTTAAACTCACCAATTAAGAGACACAGGCTAGTAGAATGGATCACAAAACAAGACCCAACAATATGCTGCCTACAGGAGACGCATTTGATAGGAAAAGACATACATAGGCTGAAGGTGAAAGGTTGGGAAAAATCATATCACTCATATGGACTTCGGAAACAAGCAGGCGTGTCCATACTCATATCAAATAAAATAGATTTCAAGCCAAAGTTAATCAAAAGAGATAAAGAGGGACACTACATACTGCTTAAGGGAACCATACACCAACAAGACATAACAATCATAAATATTTATGCCCCAAACAATGGTGCAGCTATGTTCGTCAAACAAACTCTTCTCAAGTTCAAGAGTCTAATAGACCACCACACCATAATCATGGGAGACTTCAACACACCTCTCTCGCCACTGGACAGATCTTCCAAACAAAAGTTGAATAAGGAAACTATAGAACTCAATAACACTATTAATAACCTAGACCTAATTGACATATATAGAGTATACCACCCAACATCAAGCAGTTACACTTTTTTCTCAGCAGCACATGGATCCTTCTCAAAAATAGATCATATATTATGTCACAGGGCAACTCTTAGACAATATAAAGGAGTAGAGATATTACCATGCATCTTATCTGATCATAATGGAATGAAACTGAAAATCAACGATAAAAGAAGGAAGGAAAAAGCATACATCAATTGGAGAATGAACAATAGGTTACTGAATGATCAATGGGTTATAGAAGACATCAAGGAGGAAATTAAAAAATTCTTAGAGATAAATGAAAACACAGACACAACATATCGGAATCTATGGGACACATTGAAAGCAGTTCTAAGAGGAAAATTCATTGCTTGGAGTTCATTCCTTAAAAAAAGAAAAAACCAACAAATAAATGATCTCATACTTCATCTCAAAATCCTTGAAAAAGAAGAGCAAAACAACAGCAAAAGAAGTAGAAGGCAAGAAATAATTAAAATCAGAGCTGAAATTAATGAAATCGAAACAAAAGAAACAATTGAAAAAATTGACAAAACTAAAAGTTGGTTCTTTGAAAAAATAAACAAAATCGACAGACCCTTAGCGATGCTAGTGAAGAGAAGAAGAGAGAGAACTCAAATTACTAGCATACGGGATGAAAAAGGCAATATCACAACAGACACTTCAGAAATACAGAAGATAATCAAAAACTATTTTGAATCCTTATACTCCAATAAATTAGAAGATAGTGAAGGCATAGATAAATTTCTTAAGTCATATGATCTGCCCAGATTGAGTCAGGAGGATATAGAAAACCTAAACAGACCAATATCAATTGAGGAGATAGAAGAAACCATCAAAAGACTACCAACTAAGAAAAGCCCAGGTCCCGATGGGTATACAGCAGAATTTTACAAAACCTTTAAAGAAGAACTAATACCAATACTTTTCAAGCTACTTCAGGAAATAGAAAAAGATGGAGAACTTCCAAATTCATTCTATGAGGCCAACATCACCCTGATACCTAAACCAGACAAAGACACTTCAAAGAAAGAAAACTACAGACCAATATCTCTAATGAACCTAGATGCAAAAATCCTCAATAAAATTCTGGCGAATCGGATACAAAAACATATAAAAAAAATTGTACACCATGATCAAGTAGGATTCATCCCTGGGATGCAAGGCTGGTTCAATATACGGAAATCAATAAATGTTATTCACCACATCAATAGACTTAAAAATAAGAACCATATGATCATCTCGATAGATGCGGAAAAAGCATTTGACAAAGTACAGCATCCCTTTATGTTCAAAACTCTAGAAAAACTAGGGATAACAGGAACATACCTCAATATTGTAAAAGCAATCTATGCTAAGCCTCAGGCTAGCATTATTCTGAATGGAGAAAAACTGAAGGCATTCCCTCTAAAATCTGGAACAAGACAGGGATGCCCTCTCTCTCCACTTCTCTTCAACATAGTTCTCGAAACACTGGCCAGAGCAATTAGACAGACGAAAGAAATTAAAGGCATAAAAATAGGAAAAGAAGAAATTAAATTATCACTATTTGCAGATGATATGATTCTATATCTAGCAGACCCAAAAGGCTCTACAAAGAAACTATTAGAGCTAATAAATGAATTCAGCAAAGTGGCAGGATTTAAAATCAACACGCATAAATCAAAGGCATTCCTGTATATCAGCGACAAATCCTCTGAAATGGAAATGAGGACAACCACTCCATTCACAATATCTTCAAAAAAAATAAAATACTTGGGAATCAACCTAACAAAAGAGGTGAAAGACTTATACAATGAAAACTACAGAACCCTAAAGAGAGAAATAGAAGAAGATCTTAGAAGATGGAAAAATATACCCTGTTCATGGATAGGCAGAACTAACATCATCAAAATGGCGATATTACCAAAAGTTCTCTATAGGTTTAATGCAATGCCAATCAAAATCCCAATGGCATTTCTTGTAGAAATAGAGAAAGCAATCATGAAATTCATATGGAAAAATAAAAGACCCAGAATAGCAAACACAATGCTAAGCAAGAAGTGTGAATCAGGCGGTATAGCGATACCAGACTTCAAACTATACTACAGAGCAATAGTAACAAAAACAGCATGGTACTGGTACCAAAACAGGCGTGTGGACCAATGGTACAGAATAGAGGACACAGAAACCAATCCACAAAACTACAACTATCTTATATTTGATAAAGGGGCTAAAAGCATGCAATGGAGGAAGGATAGCATCTTCAACAAATGGTGCTGGGAAAACTGGAAATCCATATGCAACAAAATGAAACTGAATCCCTTTCTCTCGCCATGCACAAAAGTGAATTCAAAATGGATCAAGGAACTTGATATCAAATCAGAGACGCGCCGTCTGATAGAAGAAAAAGTTGGCTACGATCTACAGTCGGTGGGGTCGGGCTCCAAATTCCTCAATAGGACACCCATAGCACAAAAGTTAATAACTAGAATCAACAAATGGGACTTACTCAAACTAAGAAGTTTTTTCTCAGCAAAAGAAACAATAAGAGAGGTAAATAGGGAGCCTACACCCTGGGAACAAATCTTTACTCCTCACACTTCAGATAGAGCCCTAATATCCAGAGTATACAAAGAACTCAAAAAATTAGACAATAAGAGAACAAACAACCCAATCAACAAATGGGCCAAGGACCTGAACAGACACTTCACAGAGGAGGACATACAGTCAATCAACAAGTACATGAAAAAATGCTCAACATCTCTAGCTGTCAGAGAAATGCAAATCAAAACCACCCTAAGATACCATCTCACTCCAGTAAGATTGGCAGCCATTAGGAAGTCAAACAACAACAAGTGCTGGCGAGGATGTGGGGAAAAGGGTACACTTGTACATTGCTGGTGGGACTGCAGATTGGTGCAGCCAATTTGGAAAGCAGTATGGAGATTTCTTGGAAAGCTGGGAATGGAGCCATCATTTGACCCAGCTATTCCCCTTCTTGGTCTATTCCCTAAAGACCTAAAAAGAGCATGCTACAGGGACACTGCTACATCGATGTTCATAGCAGCACAGTTCACAATAGCAAGACTGTGGAACCAACCTAGATGCCCTTCAATAGACGAATGGATAAAAAAAATGTGGCATTTATACACAATGGAGTATTACTCTGCATTAAAAAATGACAAAATCATAGAATTTACAGGGAAATGGATGGCATTAGAGCAGATTATGCTAAGTGAAGCTAGCCAATCCCTAAAAAACAAATGCCAAATGTCTTCTTTGATATAAGGAAAGTAACTAAGAACAGAGTAGGGACGAAGAACAGGAGAAGAAGATTAACATTTAACAGGGATGAGAGGTGGGAGGGAAAGGGAGAGAGAAGGTAAATTGCACGGTAATGGAAGGAGACCCTCAGGGTTATACAGTGGAGGGGGTAGAGAGAGAGGAGGGGAGGGGAGGGGAGAGGTGGGGAGGGGGGAGGGTGGATGATGGGAAAGGCAGCGGAGCACAACAGACACTAGTATGGCAATTTGTAAATCAATGGATGTGTAACTGATGTGAATCTGCAATCTGTGTATGGGGTGAAGGTGGGAGTTCATAACCCACTAGAATCAAAGTGTGGAATATGATATGTCAAGAAATTTGTAATGTTTTGAACAACCCACAATAAAAAATTAAAAAAAAAAATAAATAAAAAAAAAAAAAATAAAGATTAAAAAAAAAAAAAAAAAAGAACTGCAGTCCTGAGTACCCAATGCCCAGCCTTAGCACTGTACCTTCGATGCGCCTTTTCTTGGACCGGGAATGACCCTGAGGGCTGGCCTCTGCTGCACTCTCTATAGGGCTGAGGGAGTGGCAGTAGGTAGTGACTGGACCCCACTGATGGCCAGGTGCCTGGGAGACACGCTGCAGACACTTTTCCAGGTAAGACAGTCTGAAGGAGGGGTGGAGCGGAAAGGCTGGGGTGGGTCCCAGCCCTTGCCCAAGCCTTTCTGTATCCACATCTCTGCTCACCCACCCTCTAACTTACAGCAGCTGCTTATCCTGGTGGAAGAGGCGGGGGGAGAACTCTGAAAGGAGCTCCAGGAATGCCAGATTTGGGGGTTCACCCGAGGAACCAGGAGGAGGAAGTTCAGACAAGGAGAACTTGATGCCTTCCCTTGATTGGGCAGAACTGTTTTAGTAAGACAGGCCCTTCCCACTTCCCTCCCAGGGCTGAGATATCCCATCCAAGTGTGCCCTTCCCATCCCCACTCATCTCTTGAGAACATGCCCACCAACAACCTTACTACTGCTTCTTCATGGCCTACCCTCCCCATCCAGGGCCACATTCTCAGCCTTCTCTGTACCCAGCCTCTAACCCAGCACTTCCTCACTTGTGCAACATGACTACCAGGTCTCGATTGTGCAGCTGCTGGGGTCCAAAGCTCAAGGCAAATCTCCGGGCCAGATCCCTCATCTCAATGAAAGCTGGCAGCTCACTCAGGCCCTGAGGCCCCTGTTCCTGCAGGAGTTCTGTGTACAGCTGTGTCCAAGAGACATGGTGTGTTGGGAGAGGGAAGAACAGGGCAGCACTAGAAAAGCACAACATTCCCTTCTCCTCAGAAATTCCCAAGGGCTTGGGATGCCATCTCCTAATTTTACTCTTTCTGCCCCCAGGACACTGCCCTGATCCCTGACACTCTGCAGCAGACAGAGCCTTAGCCCTTCTAACAAAGATATCTACAGTAACTGAAGAAAGCTGCAAGAGAACAGACTGAAAAAAATAATTAGGGATTCCCTGTCACCTCATCTTTGCCACTCTAGGTGCTGATAGTTGATTTCTATGGGTTGGAGATGGAAAGTTCCAGGTTAGTTAAAAGCACATTTTCTAAGGATCTACTAGGTGTGAAGGAGCCTGTTGTGTAAAGTAAAGAGTCAAAATAGGAAAGGGCCTTTTCTTAATGTCTTGCTTTCTCTGAAGGTGGACAAAGAGGTGGGGGACTACAGGAAGGCATGCCAGAGGTGTGAGGTCCTCTGGAGAGAAGCAACACCTGCTTCAGGCTCAGCAGTAGGATTCGGGAACAATGACTTCGATCAATCTGCCTCGCTCTAGTTAATGTTTCCTTGATGATGTCACCATAGTCATTGTAGAACTGCATGAGAAGAAATGGAGAATGTTATGTTTGACCACAGGAAAACACTCTGTTTTGTTTCTACCTTCACATCCCTAATCTTGCCTTGTTCCTAAAGAGCCTGTGATAGAAAAACAGGAATATAAGCATAAAATAACTCAGTCTAGACCTCATCTCTAACCAACAGGTGCAGAGCCCAAAAGAAATCAGAGTTTAGGTAAAAGAAAAAAAAAACACATCAGGGATAAACTGTTGGAGCCCAATTCTTGGTGAAGAGGAGGAGGAGGCCTGCCAGTGCCCATTCTCGCTTAGCACTGAAGTCTCCACATGTATTTCCACTAAAAAGGAAGCCCCAGGGAACAGGACTTTTGTCTTTTTTGTTCACTGCTGTGCCCTCAGGTACACAGGAGGTGCTCAGTAAACAGAAATTAATACAATGGTGGGGTGAGACATCTAGGTATGTAGTGAGCACTGATCCCTCCCCCATTCTTTTTTTTTTTTCCTTTTTATATTACCCCATTCAGAGGACTGGGTTGGAGAAAAAAGATTTCTAGATGGGAAGAAGCAGCTATTTCCCCTCTACTGAATGTCTTAATAGCTTTTTCTCCATAATTATTTACTACTGAGTCACTTTGGTTTCTTTTTTTTTAAAAAAAAATTTACTTTTTAGTTGTACACAATACCTTTGTTTATTTATTTGTTTTTATGTGGTATACGCTGTACTGTTGAGCCACAACCCCAGACCCCACTTTTGTTTCTTTATTCTAAACTCCTACTGCCATTCCCTCCTACTTTCCCTTTTTAAGCCTGATCCCATCAAATCCATCCCTCTTCATTTCTGAGATGTCATAGTGTCTCAAGTCATGGCTTTGTTCAACATGGTCCCCTGTTCTTTGTGGCTGTGGGGTCTCACTATACCTTATTGTAGTGTTTGAAAACATCTGAGGCTGCATCCAGCTCTAGAACCCCATAGAGCAACAGCTTGCAGAACCCGGCCAAGAGTCGGCGCCGCTGGTGCAGCTGCTCTATCTGTACATGATCATCCTGGGAATGTCCTGCCCATCAAAGGCAGAATGCAATCACACACTTACATCTCCCACCCTGAATCACTGAGCCAGGCCCAGCCCCAAACCATCCTGAGCCCCAAGCACAGAGTCCCTGTACCACTGCCCAGGTCTCCAGGTTGGAGGAAGACATGGTCCATGAGGAAGCTTGCTAGCTCAGATTGGAGAGAAGCTTCTGGAAAAAAGATGAGGGGTCTCAGGAAATCCCGCCCCCCTAAAATCATCTGAGGGCTGAAGATGAGAAGCATATCACTTAATAAGACAAAAGCCTGTTGGTAAAAAAAAAAGAGGACAATTAAAAAAACAGAATTGTTATAAGACTGGAATTACAAAGCCAGCTTAACTCCTCAGACCCCAACACTCGCCTCCTCCTCCCTCTGGAGGAAATGCTCACCTGCTCCTGGATCTCCGGATCCACATCTGAGAGGCAGCTCTGGCAGAGTTCACAGAAGGCCACCATTCTGCTCTTAAGATCCAGCACCTGCTTCTGCAGAGATAATGGCTTACAAGGAGCAAGACATCATGGCTCCTCCGTCCTAGTCCCTGCTCAGACCCACACTCACCTGGGAAGCATCTGGACCTGAAATGTGGGTTAATGTCCAGAGAATGGAAAAATAGACAAGAGTCAAGGCTGGAAGGACCACCTGTAACCATGAAATGTCAGACAAATGAGCTTTTGCAGGAGAACGAAGAGCGATGGTGAGGGGGGAAGGGAGAGACAGCCGAGGAGGGAAAGATGGGCAGGCTGATGGGCTCAGACCCAGCGTGGAGGAGAGAGAAAAGGAAACCCTTTTCTGGTGGAGATAAACTGATATTTAAAACAGGCTCCAAAGGCAGCTATTCTATGCAAAAATATCATGTCTCCCTAATTCACTCACAGTCTCCTAGAATCCCTCAGTCTTCTTGACTCCTAGAAAACTGGAGAGGATGACAGTTTCCAGGAACTGAAGCCTGGTCCACCTTTCAAAAGAGGATGGAGGGGGAAGCCCCACCAGATCTTCCTCTGTGTGCCCACTTTATACCCTGTGACTGGGCCTGCCTGGGAAAGGTGGCAACCCAGAATAATCCTTAAGAATGCCTCTCCTGCTTCCACATCTCTAGCCTGTCTACCTGCCTGGTGAGGAACCTCTCCAGTGTCCACGGCCTTCCGGAGGAGTCCATAGCATGGCTCGTAGAGCTCCCAGCGAGTCAGGTCATGAGCACTTTGTGAAGAGAGATGGAAACATTATGCTGGAGCAGAATGAAAGGAATCAATTCCACAGACACAGAAATGGGAGGGAGCAGCAGGGAAGCTACTCACTTGTAGAAGGCAGAGAGCCGCTTCAGAGTGGCTGCTAGACTGTACACCTCATCCTCATCCAAGAACGACGACTGAGGAAGAGAGAAGGTCCACAGCAGGAGTTTCCCAAGAACTCATCCATCCATGCTCCTAGTCTTAGGGCCCTCTCCTCCTCATTTGGTGTGTCCCGCCATTCAGCCTCAGCTCCTACCTGCAACAGCTCATCAAGCTCTTGCTGGAAACGGTCAGTCAGCAGATCCACTAGTTGGCTGCGGGCAAAGTCCACCCGGCTGAAGAAAGTGAACTCAGGCTTACAGAGCAGATACAGGGCATGCGCTCCAGCCTCAAGCACTGCTGGCTCTGCATGCTTCACTACCACCTCCTGGAGTTGCTGCAAAAGCAGCTCCAGATGCTGAAAGGGAGAAAGGTGGGAGAAGACGGTGTGGAGGAGATGGGGGGGAAGGTGAGAAACAGGGGTGAAAGCAATGAACTTCAAGGAAAAGATGCCTGAGAAAGGAAGGGCTTATTGGATTTTTCTGGAACCCAGGTTCCTGTAAAGATGTTGACAGTAGACCCCTCCAGCCCTAGCAGGTGGGCAGTGAGGTGTAGGAAACAGATCTTCCCACCTCCTCACCTTCTCCAAGCGCCGAGTGCAGTAGATGCTGAGGTCAAAGTAGTTGAGAAGCTGGAGCAGGGGAGCGACCTTCTCTGCATCGGCTGAGAACTGTGGTGATAAAGAGGGTGCACGTGGGCTGCCAACTCTTCTCCCATCCCTCCTCTAGGCTGTTTCCTTTTACCCACTTGTGCCTGGTGCGGAATGGGGGCTGCTCTACCTTGGCCAGGAGCTGGGGCAACAGGGGAATGAGGTGCTCAGTCAGTTTCACCTTGTCATCAGCTTGAAGTTTGCGTTCTTTAGCAGTTAGGCCCTGGAATGAGAGTCATTCTGGGGTGAAAGACGTGGAGAAATGCCATGTGCAGTGGGTATGTCCGTGCATCCCTCCTCCCCATGATCTTTTCTGCCCAGGAAGGAGAAAAGAATTCAGCAGCTCCCTTCAGATTTCTTTTTGCTGGAGAAAAAAAAATCCTTTGGGGGCAGATGGAGTGCCCTAAACGAGGACTTAAGAATACTGAGAGAGAATACATATCTGACTTCAATACTGCTGATCAACCCAACTTGGCCCATGCCATACCTTCCTCCCAGTGACCCGCCCCACAGGCGGGTGACCCTCCACAGCTTGCCGGGCACTGGACACAAGGATTTCTATCAGCGTGTTTTCCTGCACATTGCCCAGGTCTGGGTTGGTGGGAGGATCAAAAACAGAATTGACATATGAGCCACTCACCATCTAAAATTCCACTCCCACCCCATGCCCACTGCTGCTTTTTATAAAGCAGGCAAGCAGTCTCTCCTGGTTTCACTTGGAAGTGCAAGGTCCCTGTCCCCGGCTACCAGGTAGCACGTACTCTGGTCCTTCTGCAGCAGCAGGCTTGTCATACTCTCCCAATCCTTCAGCTGAGTCCCTGCACAGTCCCAGAGGCTGTCTACTAAGTAAGCGGCATGGTCATGGAGCTGTGAAGAGGGCACAGGGTTTTACCAATGTGATGGAAAACTGCGCCAGGAAGCATTTGTTGATAAACATCACCCTCCTTCCCACAGTGGCCACCCTGTCCTCTACTCAGGTTTCTGCACAACACTCTGACTCTCCCTTCATGTGTTACCTCACTCTCCACGAAGAAGGACAGCAAAAGGTGGAAGAAAGTTCTCTGAGCACTTGGACTTCGGCGTCGCTCTCTTCCAACCCCTGCTTTTGTCCCACACTCAGGATAGAAGAGTCTGGAGGGGAGGGCACAGCACAGGAGGAGGTGAGGCACATGGCAATCACCATGGAGAAAGAAACAGCCCAAGGAAAGGATGCAGGGAAAAGAGGAGCAGAGCTAAGGGAAGCCCAAGGGGTTAAGAGGAAAAGGGATGTCAAGAGAGATCTGTATAGGTATGGAGAGTCCTTAAGCAGCCGATGAGAAAAATGACAGAGGATGGTGTGAAAGAAATGCACAAGGAGACCCACTCACTTCCAGTATAGAAATTCCCCTGCGGCAGAGGCCAGGGCACGATTGGAGGCATATACAACTGGGTAGATGCTCTCACAGTCTGCACTGGTCAGCACTCCTTCCATGTTCCTGCCAAGAGAAAAGTGTGGGCTGGGGATGTGGCTCAAGTGGTAGCGCGCTCGCCTGGCATGTGTGTGGCCCGGGTTCGATCCTCAGCACCACATACAAAAACAAAGATGTTGTGTCCGCTGAAAACTAAAAAATAAATATTAAAATTCTCTTTCTCTTAAAAAAAAAAAAAAAAAGAGAAAAGTGCATTTGGGTGTTGTCCTCTGGCAATTCTAGGGCTAAAACCAGCAAAAACAATGAGAATATGACTCTCAGAAAACTTTTTATTTTTTTGGTCCAGGGATTGAACCCAGAGGTGCTTTACCACTGAGCCACACCCCCAGCCCTTTTTATTTATTGACAGGGTCTCTCTAGTTGCGTAGCTCCTTGCTAAGTTGCTGAGGCTGGCTTTGAACTTGTAATCCTCCTACCTTGGTCTCCCAAAACAATGGGATTATAGGCATGCACTACCATGCCTGGATCAAAGAACTTTTAAATGAAAAGTGGAAAATAGAGGAATATGGAAAATTAGAGAAGACAGGCAGTTTCCCCTCTCAAGGTATCCCAACTCAGGAATGACTTATTTTCAACATGCACCTAAGAGTTAACCTGTGACAGGTGGGGCAAGGACTCTGGAGGGGCCTGCCTGATGCTACAAAGGTGTCTGTGACATGCTGCCTCACACATTCCCATGACTCACTTCAGGATAAGGGTTAGCAACCTGACAGCCTCCACTGCCACATCATACTCTCTGTCCATGACCATGGAAACCATCCGGTCCTGTCAGAGAAAGAACATTGCTCAGTATCTCACTGTACCCAATCCAAACATCACATCTCCTAGAATCTGAGAGATTCCTAAAGAAAGAGTGTTGAAGCAGATGCTGGAATAGGTAATAAAATATCAAAGCAAATGATACAGAAAGACACGAGGTGGGAAAGCAGGATACACTGCAAAGAGTCCAGCACAGAAGCAGTGTCTCCATCTTACCTTGAAGCGGCTAGTGAAGAGCTCCAGGCGTGATGTCAGCTCTTGGTTGCTGTACAGCCCTTTCAGAGCCTTCAGGCACTTTAGACGGACTTCTCGGTGCTGTCGAGGAGAGACAAACAAGAAAGAAAACACGATTGATCACTCACCCCTACTGAGCCTCCACATGAGGACTTGCAGAGTCCTCATTCTGGACCTGGGTGCCCTCACGAAGAGGATTCTGAGATGAAAGAGAAAATGAACAGCTGTCTTCTTAAAATACAGAAGGATCTCAGAATTGAGCAATTGTGATGAAAAGGATCCACAGCTACCACTCTCACATGTGAGTTACTAATCTATCAGTAATTAATTTTCTTGCTTTTTCTTAGTGAGTCTTTCTCCCTGTTACACCTTAGGGTTGAAGGCACGGTATCTCCTGGATGTGTCTTTTTCTCTTCAACCTTATCCTATGCTTCCTAGTACTGAGAAGTTTCAAGGTTCAGTGCCTTGATGGGCTGATCAATGCTCATCAGGTGAAATGTCTAAGTGGCAGGACCAAGAAAAGCTGAAGTGTCCTGGGCAGGGAAGATGATGAGGGGAACAGGAAAAGGGAGACTGATGTGACTCCTACCTTGTCATGCAGGGTCCAGCCAATGTATTTTAAATAGCTGTCAGTGAGGAAAGAGGTACTGTAGCTTTGCATCCAACACCCGATTTCCTCCATGCAGATAGCCCGGATCTCAGGAAGGATGTCCCTAGATGGAGATATAAACTGACTTCTGTAGTCTTCTCTCCAAACTCACTTTCAATCCTATCAGAAAACCCTATCTCACACAAACTATTTTTTTTGTCTTACTGTTTTATTTTCCTTAACACTAACCATACATACTAATGGAATTCAATGGGCTATTTCCATATATGCATACAGTGTGACTAAAGAATTTGTTTTCTTGATGAATGCCAGGTGCCATGGTCTTTCAATTTCCTTCCCAACGTAAACACAATAAATATAAAAGTAAATTCCTTTCTGTAACTAACCTATGAGATAACTGAACCAGCATGTACCATCTTGCTCACCACATCCCCTTTTAAAACTGATTTTGAAATTTCATTTAATTATTGGCTAACCTGTGTATATTTTAATTCTACTTCAAGAAAAGATTAAATCAGGAGCTCGGTTTGTGGCTCAGCAGTAGAGTACTTGCCTTGAACATGCAAGGCCCTGGGTTCGATCCTCAGCACCACATAAACATAAATAAATAAAATAAAGATGTTGTGTTCAACTACAACTAAAAAAATATTAAAAAAAGAAAAGATTAAATCAGGTGAAAGGTTCTAGAAAAGCAGAAGCTGAAATCTAGATAAAGTGAGAAACTTTTAAGTACTACAAATACTTTAATATTAATTTTTGGAGTACTACAAACGTTTAATTTAATTCTACCAGTCTTTAAACAGTATAAAACTCCCCTGCCCTCAGAACAAACAATAGGGTGAGTTAGGAAAAGGCTTGCTGGGCCACACATATGCCTCAGAAAAGTTGCCTCTGGTTCTCTGCTCTTGTCCTTCCAAGTCTCCAACCTCAAAAAGATAACAGGTAGGGACAGAGCCAGACCTTGGGCAACATTGGACCAGAATACTCAGTAATGCCTTATCCTTTTATTTTCTCTCCCAGAAGAGCTTACAAAATCCTTTGTATGTGGGATAAACAAAATCTTACTAATTTAAAACATGCGTTGTAAAGAGTTTTTATTCCAGCTGCCTTATTTCTGGGGCTAACTAAATATTTTGGGAATCTTACAGACTCCACAACCAAGGAATAGCTGCTTCAGTGAGAGGAGCCCATTAGCTCACCTGTACCGATGAACAAAGACACCCCTGAAGATGGCATTCATCATCCCCTCAATCTCTTCTTGATGCTCTTGGAGCTGGAGGATATAAGGAGGAACAGATCAATCTTTCTTGTACCCCAAAAGCCTAAGGCTGCAAAAGTGTAACTTCTACCTACTTCCTATTTATCACAGGACACAGTGTGAACCCCTGGTATCCTAAGTTTCCTTTTAGATCTTCTAATTCTAGAGGAAGCAATAAAATCAACTAATGCCTCAGAGGTTTCTCTGTGTCTAATAAAACACTATCTCCTCTATATATGATTATTTTTGCTATTCAGAAGCTCTAAGTGGTAGTTATGTTTTGATTAATAGTAATTCAGAAAATGCATCTTTACTAGGTGTGGTTTGATAAATGAAAAAGAACTAGCAAAAATCCGATTAGATATGTGGTTTTCAACTGGGCAATTATGTCCCCCAGAGGACATTTAGCAGTGTTTTAAGATTATTTCACTTGTTACAACTGGGGTGGGATAGAAGACAGAGATACTGCTAAACATCCTGCAAGGCCAGGACAGCCCCTCACCCCAACATCAACTGAATTAGGATTAGGTAAATGATAGGTATCAAAAGCAGAATTATAAGCAGAAAGGGAACTTTGAGACAACTGACCCCACCTCTTCAATAAATCAACATATGGGGGAAAATGGGGGAAGGCTGATGTTAAATTTTAAAAGGTCTAAGAAACACCAGTCACCAAATACAATGCAAATTTCTCACTTAGACCCTGGCTTGAATTAACCAGATGTAAAAAGAATTTAGGGGGTACAAGTGTAGGAAATTTAAGTATGAATTGGAATTAAAAATATTAGGGAATCATTAATTTTTGGATATGAAAATGGTATTTGATTTGTGATAACACATTACTTTTTTATTTTTAGTTTTTAGTTGTAGTTGGACACAATACCTTTATTCATTCATTCATTCATTTATATATGTGGTGCTGAGGATATAACCCAGCACCTTGCACATTCCAGGCAAGCGTTCTACTGCTGAGCTACAACCCCAGCCCGATAATACATTACTTTTTAGAGAATATACTTAAGTCTTTAGGGTTGAGGAATCAATATGTCTATAATTTACTGTATGAGAAAAAACAACAACCCACAAACAAATGAAGAAAATACTGTGAAATATTGTTAAACTAGATAATGCATATATGGTATCCAGTATGCCAGTGTCTCTTATCTTTCTGAATAAATCTGAAAATTTTCACATTTCAAGGAAAAGAAAGGAAGTCCTTGAAAGAAAGAAGATAAATGAGTACCAGATTCTACAGAAGTCTAGATAAGAGATATTGAGGAAAGGCACTGGTGATACAATTCAGGAAGCCAGAGGTTTGGAGAGAAAATTTTCAAAGAAATGGGGATAGGAACTAAGTAGCAAAAAGGATTCAGTCAAGTGGACATGAAGAAAATAAGGAAATACAACCCTAACAAAGGAGGAAAGAAATAAATCACAGAGAAGCAGAGTTCTTCAAAGGACAGATTCAAGAGCCTATATACATTTATAAATGAGAAAAAAATATGGGGGGAAAATTAAAGACAAAAAGGAGGAATAATAACTGATGAAGCAAGAACCCAAAGACAAAAAAAGATCTGCACTAGTGTACAGTGGTCTACTCTTATCCACAGGGATAAGAGTGGATGCCTGAAACTGCAGAGAGCACCAAACCCTATATACACAGATTGAATATCCCCTATCTGAAGTGCTTGGGACCAAAATGTTTCTAAAGTTTTCTAGATTTTGGAATGTATGGATAGACTTTACTGGTTGAGCAAACATGATCCAAAATCTGAAATATTCCAAAATGCAAAATTTTTGAGTGTCATACTGGCAAAAGTTTTGGAATCTGAATACTATAGAATTCAGATTTCTGGGTTAGAGATGCTTAACCTGTACTGTGTTGTCCTATACACACACCTATGATAAAGTTTAACTTATATATTAGGCACAGTAAGAGATTAACAACAATTAATAAAATATAATAATTATAATGATATACTTATGTGAATGTGGTTTCTCTCTCAAAATATATAACTATACTTTATATTTTTTTGGACCTTGGTTGACTGTGGGTAATGGAAACCACAGAGAGCAAAACTGCAGATAAGGGTAAACTACTATACATAATTTAAGATTCTGGATAGACCCATTAATATACATAAGCCCTTAAGATTACCCCGACAGTGAAAAACAGCAAAAGAGAATAAGGGAATAGAAATTTCGCAGAAGTCATCTTTTATGAGGGCTGGAGAAAGCCAACCGGTACAGTTAGACATGATGTGTCTGGCTAACCTCCAAGCTGGGGAGTCTTAGATACTAATGGAGAGTAGAGAGGAAACAATCAGTATTCACTTCATCACAGAAAAAAGAGATGTTTGAAGTTTAATCAGTGTAGAAGATATTACTAGGGTTTATGTTCTCCAGTGATCTTCTTAAGTTTAAAGGGAAATAAAGCTAGTCAATTTACTCTCATCTCACTTAAAGTCACAAAATAGTAGAATTATTCCTTTTTACATATATTTTTTTTAGTTGTCCATGGACCTTTATTTTTTTCCTTTATTTATTTACATACAGTGCTGAGAATTTAACAGTGCCTCACATATGCTAGGCAAGTGCTCTACCACTGAGCTACAATCCCAGCCCAGAATGATCCTCTTTTTAAAGAAAAGAAAACTGAAAACTGAGAGGTTACATTAAGGCCATGAAGCTAGTACCTAACTGGAACAGAAGGAATGCTATATTTCCATTCCTTGAATACTTGGCTTCCCTTGTCCTTATACAGGTACTACTATGGTGACCTCTACATTTAATGTAAAAGTCACAACTTAACTCCTTGCAGATAGAGCACTTAAACATTTCTGATGCTGAAAACAAATGGAAACTGAACAAAAATGGAAATATAGAGAACTCTAAATTCACTAGGCATGATTTTTGAGCCCACACTCAGAAACAAGAACAGCACACAATGATCTCTGATGGGACGAGCATGGTATAGCTGTTCCCTATCTGAAAGGCTGCTTAGGGTTTGTGCTGAACAGCCTTTCAGAAGTGCCATGGTCTGATAAAGTAGTCTGCAATAGCAGTGGATGGAAGCTGAGAGAGAGGAAGGGAAAAAGCAGGGACATTCCTCACCTCTTTGCGTTTCTCCAGCAGGCTCTCTAGCCGCTCAGGGGCTCTCTGCCCTGGTCCCTTGTTTCGTTCAGCCTCATACTGTCGCTGGTTGTTGTCTTTGTGTAGACTCAACTGGAGGGCAACTCTTACCAGGGAGGTCATGAGCTTCATGGCTTGAGTCAGGAAAAACAACAAAGAAATCTTCACTTAAGTCAAAGGAGGGAATATAAATTTAAAAGAGAAGGAAAAGGGGCTGGGGCGGTAGCTCAGTGGCAGAGCGCTTGCCTAGCACACTGGGTTCAATCCTTAGTGCCACATAAAAATAAATAAAAGAAAGGTATGCTATCCATCTACAACTCAAAAAGATTTTTAAAAATAAAGAGAAGAAAAAATGGTCAGAGAAAATGAGAAGCAGAGTGACCCCGAAGTTCTAAGACACCCTACCCTAGAGTAGACTTTCCCTACCTCTTTTGGACTTTAACCCTCAGCATACTGTGAGCTTTAGAGAAAGATATTAAGGTTGGAAACTATTACTGTGATCTATCCCTTTTCACGAATCCACTTGTGAAAATCTGGATGGAGATTTGGCATAAAAGCTGCAATGCAACTGAAGTATAGCTAAGATACAAGCAGCGTGTGGTGGCACACTCATGCAATTCCAGCAACTCAGGAGGATGAGGCCAGAGGACTGCACTTGAGATGAGCCTATGAAACTCAGTGACACCCTGTCTCAAAACAAAAAAAAGAAATAAAAAGGGCTGAGGATACAGCTCAGTGTTAGAACACCCCTGGGTTCAATCCCAGTACTACAAAACAAACAAACGAAAAACTAAAATGCAGGTGAGAAAGATGATTTAGAACCACAGAAGAGAGGAACAGTCCTACCAAACCCCAGAAGAATACACAAGAGTAAGAAGTGCTCACCAGCCAGGGTGCTAGTGTGGCGGAAGGCACGAACTTGGGAGTCTGAGAGGCCCGTGAGCAAGGAGATGAGGTTGTCCATGGGAAAGCCATCATAGAGGAGGCTGTACTGGCACTGATACACCAACGTTCTCACAAATTCACAGAAGCTTCCTTGGAACTTCTTCCAGGATGGACCTTGAGCTGTCAGGGGATAGTCCCCTGAGTCCTATATAAGGGTTATAAAAAGAATGGAAAATTTGTTTTTTTTTTTTTTTTTGCGGGGGGTAGTATCAGGCCCATGAAGCCAATAGCATAACAGTCTAATCTCCAATATACTTAATTTCCTGATATCCTTCCCAGCTCCAGAGGCTTATCAAATAATATATGAGTCTCAAGAAGTTGAGCTTTCCTTATAAAAGCTACCCTACTTCCCAGAATCAGAGAAGGGGGTAAAGGGCCTTGTGTTTTGAAATAACAGGAGAAAGAGGATCCTGGTTGTCTTCCTCCACCTCATTAAACTGCTCTGTTAGGTGCCGGATGATCTCTGAATTGGACATCTTCTTGAACATCTCAGGGGTCACAGTGCCTGAAGAATGGAAAAGATGAGGTACTTAAGAGGAAAATAACAGGACACTGTGATCATTTACAGATAACATCTGAAGATAAGCTAGGGAACATACTGAAATATGCTCAATCAGGTAAGGAATTAGAAGAATTAAAACTTACACCATTCAACCGTGTATCCATTATGAGGTAACCTCTCTAAAAAACCCAAAGGAATCAAGTGGAAAACTATGGTTTAAAAAAAGACTCCAGATGAATTTAAAAAACAACAACAACAAAGAAACAAACTAGGCCAGATGATGGATTCTAACAATACAATCAGATCAATACCATCTGCCCTAATATAACTAAGCCATGGCATGTGGAGACCTGGCTTACTTAGAATGACTAAGAAGTAAGAAAATCAGAAAGAAAGTAGTTTAAAAAAAAAAGGAAGAAAGAAGAAGAAAAGAAAGAAAGAAGTAGAAAATAAGAGAGAAGAAGTAAGAAAATAAGAGGTTATCTTATCTACAAAGACTAAAAGGCATTTTTTTGAGAGAGAGATAGAGAGAAGAGAGAGAATGTTTTTAATATTTATTTTTCAATTTTTGGTGGACACAACATTTTTATTTTATTTTTATGTGGTGCTGAGGATCAAACCCAGCGCCCCGCACATGCCAGGCAAGTGTGTTACGGCTTGAGCCACATCCCCAGCCCGACTAAAAGGCATTTGATAGTCTACTTTTCAATTTGTGAACATCATTATTATCATATAAAGATGATTATTTTCCCCCAAAAGGTCTTGCCTCAAAACCAACACAGTTCACTACTGAATCATTTTCCTTATATACTTATCAAAAATATAGTTAAATAAGTGAAACTCTCCATATGTTTTGCTTCTTCCTTTATTTAGGAAATGTCTAATCCTACTTTTTAAATGAAGAGTTTCAGAACATAGAAGCAGAAGGGTGGGAACAGAAAGAGAATGGGGTAGGAGTTTTCTCACCTTTACATCCACAGGATCGGATGAAAAAGTTAATAAGCTCCAGGAATCCTGCCTCCTCATCTTGCTTATAGCTCTCCAGCCACTCATCCACCAAAGACTGCGGGGGGGGGGGGGGGGAAAGTGGATGATTTCTATTTCTAGCAATACAACGGAACAGAAATCCTGTTTGGTCTTTCCAACTAAAGCATCTAAATTTCTGATTAAAAATAATACAAACATCTTTTTAAATGTATTGCTGAACTAAAACCAAAGGTAGAATTCCATATAGGCTCCAAATGAGGTGAAGGTAAGCAATCCAAGGAGGCGAGTAAGTTGACTTTTGCCCTGAGGGGTTCAATAAACCCTAGGGATCCTAACTTTGTGTCCAGATGGCTGTTTGGAGTGCACAGCACAGGGGACAGAGTCTAATGTCTTTCAAAGAGTGGTATGAGAGAAGGTATCTACATAAAGCTATGTCCTGCAGTCACAGCCTCACAAAAGCAAGAATGAAAATAAATCTATAGTTCAGACAGGGACACCAAGAAAACTAGCTTATTACGACCTTAGTGTGGTGTGGAGATAAAAAATGAACTGTCATTTGATAATTCATATCTGGATCTGATGTCCAGATGTACTTTACCTATATGATCAGAATAATCTTAATCAGAAAACTTAATTGAAAGTGATAATGGAGTGCCTCCAGGCAACTACCAGAAGCAAATGCAGGTTCTTCTTTTTTAAAAACCCACCTTTGACCCATGCCCCAAAGAATTCCAACACATAGAGCTCCAGGAAAAATGAGTGGATCATTTTCACAAAACCTAGTAAAACATATTAAAAAAAAACCAGGACACTGAAAAAAAGAATTAGAAAAAAAACAGACATCAGATTATATTCACAAAGACTTTAGACACCGAAGTTATCACAGATTATGATTACTATGATTTAAAAATAAAAGAGAAGCCTGAAAGTAGAAGGAAAGACAGAATTTGAAAATGGTCCAAACAAACTTGGTATAAGTGAAAAATATTTAACACTTAACAGATATTCCTATAATCCCAGATACTTAGGGGGCTGAGGCAAGAGGATTGCAAGTTCAAGACCAGTCTCATTAGGTTAGTGAGATCCTATCTAAAATATAAAATAAAAAGGGCTGGGGATGTAGCTCAGTGGTAGAGTGCTTGCCTAGCACACATTGACACATTGAGGCCCTGGATTCCAACTCTAATAATGAAAAAAAAAATCTTCAATGGATGGATTAAAAGTGGATTGGTGGGGGTGGGTGGACAAGGGTTGTGGCTCAGCAGTAGAGCGCTTGCCTAGTTCGTGCAAGGCCCTGGATTCAATCCTCAGCACATAAAATAAATAAATAAAGGTATTGTGTCCAACTATAACTTAAAAAATATATATATTTATTAAAAAAAAAAGTGGATTGGTCAGGCTGGGGATGTAGCTCAGTTGATAGAGTGCTTGCCTTGCATGCACAAGGCCCTGGGTTCAATCCCCAGCACCAAAAAAAAAAAAAAAAAAAAAAAAGTGGATTGGTCACAGCAGAATAAGAGATGTGTGAACTGAAAGTTGAATTAAATAAAACACCCAAAATGCAGCTCAGAGAGACTTACAGGTGAAAATAGCAAACGAGATGCCAAGAGACTGAGAAATTCTAATGATGTCTAACTGAATTCCAGAAAATAAGTGAGGAAGAGGCAATATTTGAAAAGCCCAACACTGTTGTGAATACACGATTGCATATAAGTTGGAAGGAACAATTAGTTTTAAAATGTATACAGTCCTGGTAAAAGACATCAAAATAAAGCCAATAAAATGAAAGCAAAAATGGAAAAGATACAGTGGAGGTCAAGAAACTGGTAGAAATTAATTTAAATATATCAACAAAAACAATAAATGTTAATGGACTAAATTCTTTATAGATCAGCAAAATGAACAAAGAACAAAATCAAATGGATGATGTATATAAAAGACAGATCCCAAATACACATAGGAAAATTAAAAGGATAGAAAAAGATACTAGGCAAATTCTAACCAAAGTTAAAGGAGTGTTAAGATATATTAATATCAGACCAAACATTATTTTCAAAGAGTGCCAGTATATAACAACAAAAGGTTTGATTTATTAGGAAGCTATAACAATTCTAAACCTATATCCAAATAAAAAGTGTCAAAATATTTAAAGCAAATAGGGATGAATACAAAAGGGATAACTGCAAAAGTTAACTTAATGGATTTTAAAGCATCTCTCTCTGTAACTGATTTACCACAGAGACCCAAAAAATTCAGAACAGAACAAAACCCAAAAGGCAACAGTAGAAATATCAAAACAGTATCACATTTAACACATTTTACACAATCTCACTCAAGAGAACAGTACTTAATAACTGAAGAATACTCATCCTTTTCAAGTACCAACAGTTTTGGGAGCTGACAATGCTAGGTCACAAAGCTAAGTCTCCATAAATTTCAAAGACTGCATTTTCTGATAACGCAATAAAGTTAGAAATCAAGTAACAAAACCTAACCAGTAAAACTCCATGTTTGAAAATTTAAAATACTTTTCTAGAAATGATAAAAAAATCTATATTATACATCGATATGAAATTTTTAAAAAATGAGAACTGAAACATGTCACAGAAGACTAAAAAATGATTCATTTATATAAATTAAAGAACACATTCATTAGTGGTAATACTATAATTAAAGATAGAGATTAATACAAAATTTAGTATAGTGGTTGTCTCTGGGTGGTAAGGGAACTGAAGAGTAGGATGCAGAGATGATATGCCATGGGCTTCTACAGATCTATTAATGTTTCATTTTTTTGAGCTGGGGGCTAGAGATAAGGGTGATCATTTTTTTAAATCTACATATATATGTCTTATTCACTTTTAGATAATAGATATGCAATAGATAAAAGATGTGGGGAGGGAAAAGTAATTAGATGTAATTGTCAAGGTGGAGGTAAAAAATTAACAAGGGTGAATAAACTGCCATCCATATCCAGATCCAGGCTTCCTTCCTAGTTCACCCAATGCTCTCTTTGCCTCTTGTTCTGTGATACCTTTCCATAAAGAATATTCTTTGTCATCCAAGATCTCTCTTGAACCACTTCAAGGATGTACCATTCCAAGAACTCACTTCATGTTCTTTTCATTTTTTTTTTTTTTTGGTACTGGGGATTGAACTCAGGAGCACTCGACCACTGAGCCACATCCCCAGCCCTAGTTTTGTATTTTATTGAGAGATAGGGTCTCACTGAGTTGCTTAGGCTGGCTTTGAACTTGAGATCTTCCAGCCTCAGCCTCCCGAGCTGCTGGGATTATAGGCGAGTGTCACTACGCCTGACTGGTATTATCTTTTTTGATACATGCATACTCACTAAAATGTCCATATCAAATCAAATTTGAAGACACCTGTTCTTATCTTCCCACCTTACAAAGACTGAGGGAGGATCAAAAAATAGAGATGAGACTCTTTACTTTACCTGCATGTCACTTTTGGCGGTTTTCACAGAATCAAAGAGATCGCTGGTTGGTGGTTCTGATTTTTTCTGGATTTTACCTTCTACCATTTGGGACCCCTTCTTTGGATGTTTTGCCACCTAGTAAGATCAGAAATATAAAAAAGTGAGTGGTATTGGCACTTAGTCTCATCATTATCACATTAAGTAGACTTAAGCCAGCTAGGTGCTTTAATCCCAGCTACTTGGGAGGCTGAGAGAGGATGACTGCCAAGTTCAAGACCAGTCTGGGCAACTTATTGAAACCCTATCTCGAAATACAAAGTAAAACAGATTAGAGATGTACAGCTCAGTGGTAAAGTGCCCCTAGGTTCAATCCCCAGTATTGGAAAAAACAACAAAGTAGACTTAAGCTGCCAATTTCATTATGCATTACTGTCTCATATCTGAAAAGAACTCATTTTTTCACATGTGGTTTATTATTCCTAACCTTTTCTCCTTTTAAAGTCTGTGAGCATTATTCCTGTACCTCCAAATCCTAATGCTCTCTTTTATTCTTTTCTCTTCAATTTTTTTTTCCTTCCTATTTCTGTCCCTTAAGAATCTTACAAATTGTGTCCTTTCACTAACTATATCACCTGAGCCTCTTCTAGGTTTTCTTTTGCTGCTTCCCAAACCAGGTTCCAAAACAAAACAGACTCACTGGTGGTGTTCTGAGTGGTCGTTTTGCTGATCTCTTTCTCACATTGTGTCTCAGACTTTCTTCAAAGTCACTGCCTTCATCAGTTGACAGAGAGTGACTATCCCTATAAGGAAGTACAGTATTCCTTAAATAAAACCACTCCTTTAACCTACCATAAAGGGCTAATTATAATTTTTCTTTGTCTCTAACTGTATTCTACCTCCACGAGTAAAAGACAGATTATAAGAGATTGCTTACTGTCACAAGTAATGATGGAGGAACTAGAAGTTAAAGGAAAATTTCACTTGAAAGCAATGAAGCTGAATAAGGTACTGAGATGGGTGAAAGACAATCCCTTCTTAATAGTCTCTCCAAATAAAAGCATCAAATTATATTCATAGGCAGAGGAACTACTGTTCTTGTGGAGAAAAATCAGCATGGCTCAGGAAGTTACATACCATTCAAATGTAAGTAAAAGAATAATGTGTGCCTGGAGTTAAAGTCTGAAACATTGATACAATCTGATCCCCAATAGTAGTACTCACAGAAAAAGAAATGATTAAGAGAAGATCAATTAAAATAACCAGGGAATAAAGTAAATCCTTAGTTTTTTTCACTAGAAAGATAAAAAACAAGATATACTACTATAACAGAATTTAAACTCATAAACCATAACAGAGAATGGAAGGACCTGTTTAAAAAAAATCCCAAATACAAGAACTACAGGACACCAACTAAAAAATTCATACAATATGTCAGACAACAAATAAAGCACTCTTTTCTTGTAATATTTTCTACTCCCCAGCCACCATCAGCATTTATACTGGCTAAACACAGAAATGTGTTCAAGGTATGTCTAGACTGCAAGTTGAGTGACAGATTAAAGAGGTGCTCTTCTTGATATCTACACGGTCTAGGGTGGCCAACAAACAGCTAGCGGATCACTGTTCTGAACCAGTACAGCTTTTCTGAGGTTTTCACACATTTTCACACCTATTACAACCAGTGCAGTAAAATGATAGTAAGGAAAGCTCCCGAAGATACAGGAGGCAGGAGCAAAACGCAAGAGCTTCTCACCAACACCACTCACCCCTCTGAAGGGTCCGAGTCCCTGTCATCACAGGGCAGATTGATGGAGGAACTAGAAGTCGACAATGCCCTCAGTGTACTTCCAACAGTTCTGTGCAGTGGGGAGGACACACTGCTTGGAGAGGATGAGCTATGAAGCCGAGAGGAGGATCTCAGGGTAGGCATGTTGATCTGCCTGAGGGAAGAAAGACAGGGAAAGGGCTCCTACTCCACTTCTCCATCCCCAGCCCTGCCCAGTCCCTTTCTTTCCAAGGAACTGCTCTGGGACTCGGGGGTCGGCATGGGACCTGCCAAAAATAAGACAAGAGACTACTTAACCATATCAAGGGATATTAAGGGATTAATGACAGCAGCACCCCATGGGCTGGGGTGTAGCTCAGTGCTGGTTTAGCACGCGCGACTCTGGGTGTGGATTCCAGCACTAGCCAAAAGGAAAAAAAAAAAAAAAAAGCCCCACCGTCCCAGAAACTGGCCAGAGGCACTGGAGTTGCTCCCCAAGCGCCTGGTGAGGCACAACCCACTCCAAACGCGACCCTCCCGGGGACTTCCGAGGAAACGTAAATCGTTTGGTGCAGAATTAGGCTCACGTGGTAAATTAAAAATAAAACGGAAACGAATAAGGGAAAGGCAGAATCAATCAATAAATGAATAAATAAAGCACCCTGGGCTGTGGTTCCCGGGATCCGTTTCCTGATTCCACGTGGGACGGGAAGGGACGCTCTCACCGCCTCGGGGTGGAGGCGCCATTGGAAACGCTCGAGGAGCCAAGGAAGGCGAGCGCTCTACTTTTCCCGAAGGCGGAACCTGCGTCGCACCCTTATTTAATTGGGCTCATACGGGCTGAAGAGCCTCCGAACCTCACCCGAGCCCACCCTCTCCGGGGCGGAGACCACTGAGGCACAGACGGGGCGAAGAGGCTCGTCTTCTAGGGGCAGGAGGGTTGGTGCGGGCTATTCTTGGGTCAAAGGGGAACCTCACTGAGTCGGGAAGTGACTGCTGGCTGAGTACGCTTGAAAAAACGTCACCTCCTGGGCTCCTTTGGGTCTCTGTGTGGCACTCCACCTCCACCACAGGAGACCACGGCTTCCCTCTCAAAAGCGGAAGAATCTAGAAAAACGCGGGAAAGCACGAGGTACACTGTGCGCAGGCGCGAGACCAACGCTCGCCCCGCCCCCGCCTCCAGGGCTAGGAATTGTCGCGAGGGTTTTGGAGCTCGTGCTTTCCACGCTTCAGTCACGCTGCGGTAGGTAACCTCGTGTAGCCGCCAGGCGTGCTGTTGTGTCCTGTGGACTCCCGCGCTCTAGCCCTCTGCTTTAACTGAGCTCCACCCCGGCCCCGCCCCCTCTGCGTCCAGTTTCCCCCTCCATTGGTCAAGTTTCGGACTACATTACTAGTCCGAATGTGGTGGACGAAGCCACCCCTTCCATCAAGCTTCTGGAGTGCAAAACGCTGGATTCCACCCGGCCCCGCCTTCCGAACCGAATCGCCACGCCCCCAAGAAGGACCACGCCCCCACCTCGCTGACAGCCTTCGCGTGGTCGCGTCCCGCCTCCTGCCGAGCTTCCCCAGTACATTGGCTTAATTTCTCTCTTGACCCCGCCCCCGAGGCCAGCTTCTTATTATCATTGGCGGGGCCCCGCCTAGGGCCCCGCCCCTGTCCGGCTCCGGGCTCCCATTGTCTCGGCAGATGCTGCTTGGTCCAGCTATCGTGCCCAGTTTTCAGTTTTCTGGGGTCGTGCTCTTTCTCTGGCTGGTGGAGCGGTCCTGCGGCCAAAAGCCAGATTCTGGAGTTGGGGCGGCTCTTTCCTTCTTAGACGTCCCAGGGAGGCTACAACTATGTCCGTGCTGCGACCTCTCCTGCTTCTGCTGCTGCCTCTGTGTCCCGGTCCCGGACCGGGACCCGGGAGCGAGGCAAAAGTCGCCCGGAGTTGTGCAGAGACCCGGCAGGTGCTGGGGGCCCGGGGATATAGCTTAAATCTAATCCCTCCCTCCATGATCTCAGGTGAGTAGAAAACAGGATGACTAGAGAATAGCGGGGTGAGGGGTGGTGGCAGACCCTTCCCATCTCACAATAACTCTTTTCCTTTTCAAAGTGAACGTTATGGTAATCTTTTCATCCCATAAAAATCTCTCTCTTCCTCCTATAACTTCTTTTCTACGATCACAATAAACCTCCTGCTCACATAATAGCTCTTACTCCACCCCCACCACGGGAATCTCTCTCTGGTAATTAAGCACCCCTCCCCAAGTGTCTTTCTTCGCAGTGAGGTTCCCTTCACTATTTCTAGAGACCTTTCTGTGATAAGACTTTCTTGCTTACCAAGTAACAACACCCTTGCACATCCCATTCTTGCACAACCCACCCTTGCACATCCTATGGAAGCTACCCTGCAAGTTCCTTGAGGTCCGGGTGTGCCTATTGGGGAGGGTCACCTAAGGACACTGGTCACTAATTGGATCCTGGGTCAGCAAAGAGATCCCATGACTAATGGGAATGGATTTGGGATGGGTGAGGAGACAATAAAGAGGGGTCAGGTGGGGACGAGGAGGCAAACAATAGAGACCAGACAGGTGAGAGAGAAAGAATAGCCCCAGAGATAGGTGGGAGATGGACCGAGTTTCATAATATCCCTTGCTACTATTTCTCCCCGTTTCCTCTGCCCAGGTGAGCACCTCCAGATCTGTCCCCAGGAGTACACCTGCTGTTCCAGTGAGACAGAACAGAAGCTCATCAGTGATACTGAGGCCACCTTCCAAAGCCTAGTGGAAGACAGTGGCTCTTTCCTTGTTCACACACTGGCTGCCCGGCACAGAAAGTTTAATGGTGAGGATGTGGGGTCCCCAAATGCACTTCACACCTCTCCTCTATGCTTGTGACCCCAGCAAGCTTCCTGTCCCCTTTCTCTACTTTAACCTAAGATATTCCACCCCAGCCCAGCCCTGCTTATCCCCAGTCCCCATCCCGAACTCTTGCCAGGACCTGCTTTCCCTCATTCCCAGTCTGACCAGGTCTCTGAGAATTGCTCAGTTTCTAATTCACTTTTCTCTTCTCTCCCCATCCCTATCCTGTCCTACCTCTGCCCTTTCACTGTTCTTCCCTTCTCTGTCCTCACCACCCTCTGCCCTTGCTCCCTGCCTTTGCTAGAGTTTTTTCGGGAGATGCTCTCTGTATCCCACCAATCCTTGGCCCAGTTCTTCTCGCACTCCTATGGCCGCCTGTATTCCCAGCACGCCCTCATCTTCAACAGCCTGTTCTCTCGCCTGTGGGACTACTATGAGAAGTCTGGTGAGGGGTTAGAGGACACCTTGGTGGATTTCTGGGCACAGCTTCTGGAGAGAGCATTCCCCCTGATGCACCCGCAGTACAGCTTCCCCCCTGACTTCCTGCTCTGCCTCACACACCTCGCCTCGACTACTGATAACTCTCTGCAGCCCTTTGGGGACTCACCCCGCCGCCTCCGCCTACAGGTGAGGGGTCTGGAGGCCTGAGCTTCAGCCACCGCTAACCTAGTGACCTCTGAACTGTGTGCCACTCAGATCCAAACAAATGACCCTCTCAAAAAGGAGGTCACCCCTGATCTCATGATTCCCCCATTTTGTGTCTCAGCCAACTCTGACCTGGTGGTCCCTATCTCAAGCTTCAGTCACCTGAGGTGCTTAATCCAGTGCTCATTAGTCTCCTTTAATTGGATCCCCACCCCCATTCTTTTTTTTTAATATTTATTTTTTAGGTGTAGATGGACACAACACAATGCCTTTATTTTTATGTGGTGCTGAGGATTGAACCCGGATCCTGCCTGTGCTAGGCGAGCGCTCTACTGCTGAGCCACAATCCCAGTCCCCCCACTCCCATTCTTTACCCTGGTTTTATTACAAACACTAACCTGCTCTCAGCCCCAGCCACCTTTCTGCCAAGTTTCCCAAAATCCTAACATCTTGATTTCCTCTGGTTCAACTGAACATGTACAAGGCATGCAATAATCAAGAAGCCTTTTGACATATCTTGTTTTATTCAATTGTCTTAATTCTTTGATATAAATAATAGTATCCCTGTTTTACAAATGAGAAAACCAAGGTTCAGGTGTCACATCCAGTAGTAGTACGGTGGAGCTGTGTCTCACACCCTGGTCTTCTAGCTTCAAATTCAGTGTTCTTATACACAGCCTGTGGAACACTTGATCCAGTTCCCTTGATCCCTCTAGACTTTAATTCCTTTGGATCTCTTGAACCTGCCTCTCTGTACCACCCAACACACTACCCACCCCAAGATAACCCCACTGCTCATTCCTTGGCCCCAGTCTCAACTGACCTATGACAACTTTGTGGAGTTTTCTCACCTTCTTTCCCTTCCCTCAGATAACTCGGGCCCTGGTGGCTGCTCGGGCCTTTGTCCAGGGCCTGGAGACTGGAAAAAACGTGGTTGATGAATCACTTAAGGTTAGAAGGGGCTTGAGTGTGGGCAGGGACCAGGGAGGGGGAGGCAGAAGTGGGAGAGACCCCTTGAGGAAGACAGGCATCAACTGGTAGTAGAGGCCTGAGGCCTTCCCCTATCAGCCTCTAGGCTCTGGCATCCTTGGGTAAATCAGGAAGGAGGGAGTCAAAGATTGGAGTACTGGGTCTCCCAGGACTCCTCCATGACTGACTCCCCTTTCCCTGCTGAAGCCCTCTCTCTACCACCTATCCTCTCCTAACTTCCCAACCTTACCTCCTGCCTCTTCCCTCTCGAATCATCATGGACTCACTCTAGTCCTTGGGTCTTTCCTCAGACCTACCCCCACAATAGTAATACATCTCCCGTGGAGGAGGATCTGTGAATTGGCCCCTAGGAATCTCCCTCCCCAGCTTGGCAATCCTTTGGTCTCACCTTCTACAACATGGGGTCAACAGCCCTGTGCCTCATATGCAGCAACTTATTGTTCTGTAACTTAGGGAGATGGGACCAAGTATTGACTTCTTTGTGCTCAGTGTCAGACTTGACTGAGAGCAGCCAAGGTGTTTGTGGATGACAGAGCCTGGTTCTCTGCCCCAAGGTGCAGGTGTCTGAAGACTGCAGGAAAGCTCTGATGCGTCTGATCGGCTGCCCCCTTTGCCGGGGAGTCCCCTCACTTATGCCCTGCCGGGGCTTCTGCCTCAACGTGGCCAGTGGCTGTCTGAGCAACAGAGGACTAGAGCCAGACTGGGGCAACTATTTGGGTGAGGGGATTCAAAAAAGCCTGGGAAAGAGGAGGACCTGGAGGAGGGCTGGAGACGGTGTAAGGGTGGGTGGGAGGAACTGGGGAGGGGGTCTAAAGCCCTACTGAGGAAGGGAAAGGACAGGGGCCTTCTCATGTGAATGCCCCAACTCTTTTCTGCTTCCCTCTGAAGCCCCCGTAAGGATTGTGGGAACATCCTAGTTCACTGTACACCCCCTTGCACCCCTTTTCTCTTTCTCCCCTCCTTCAAGATGGTCTCCTGTTCCTGGCTGATAAGCTCCAGGGGCCTTTTTCCTTTGAGCTGGCTGCCGAGTCCATTGGGGTGAAGATCTCAGAGGGTTTGATGTATCTGCAGGAAAACAGTATGAGGGTGTCAGCCAAGGTATGAGGAGGAAAGAGTGGAAATGAGGCCTTGGCTGGGGAGAGTGGTAACAGATTATGGGCATCTGGGGAGGCTTTGGGTCCGAACGGGGACAGTGTGGGTTCACAGGGGGATGACTGTGTAGAGCTCTCTTGTGCGCAGGTGTTTCAGGAATGCGGGACCCCCCACCTGATTTCAGCCCGCAACCGCCGAGCGCCCGCACCCCTGGAAGAGGCAGGTCGACCATGGCCATGGAGGGTGGCACCAGAGGAGGAGCGGCCCACGACGGCAGCGGGCACCAATCTGCACCGGCTGGTGAGTGACCGCGGCGGGGCGGAGCGGAGGGGGCGGCCTCCCGGGGGCGCTGCCGCTCCGCATGTGGCCTCTTGCTTGCGCAGGTGTGGGAGCTCCGAGAGCGTCTGAACCGGCTGCGGGGCTTCTGGGTCGGGCTGCCGCTGACAGTGTGTGGGGACTCGCGCATGGCGGCAGATATCTCGCAGGAGACGGCGCCCTGCTGGACCGGGACTGGGCGAGGCCGGTGAGAGCTGGGTGGCGGCGGTGGCAGCGGTGGCGGGCGGAGGGCTGCACGTGGGCTCGTGGGAGTTTTCGCGGCTTCTGTACTCGCAGGTACCAGTTGCCGGTGGTGGTGGGTCCCCGGACCGATCAGACCCACAACCCGGAGTTGGGGTTGGATACCTCGGGCCCCGACGTCCCGACGCGGCGTCGCCGGCTGCTGCTCCGCTCTGCCACAGCCAGGATGCGGGCAGCGGCGCTTGGACAAGACCTGGACATGCAAGACGCTGGTGAGGCCCGCCACCTCTGTCCGCGAGCTCCGCCCACTGCCCGCGGTCCCACCTCGCATCTCTTAGTTCTCATTCATTTCTTTATTGGGCACTTACATCAAAGATAGAGAGGGGTAAAAGACCAATAAGTGGGTCATCATCCTTGAGTTTATGGTGTAGTGGGAGACGCAGAAATGCAGAATAATGGGGAATGTTTTTAATTAAGGGCAAAGAGTTGCTGGAGAAGGGTGGGGAAAGGAAGGGGAGTGGAGGTGACAGTGGGTGGGCACCACAAGTTGGAATTTTCCAGAAGGGGAAGCAAGACACATTCATTTTTTTCCCTTCTCCTTTCTGTCTTGCTCCTCCCCACCTCTCTTCCCATCTGCTCCCTGCTTTTGTGTACTTCTGTTTCTCTCTTTCCTGCTTATCCTCTATGTATCCCTTTTTTCTGTCCCTGTTGCATTGTCTCTTCCCATCTTCCATCATCTTCTCTCATCCCCATGTCTGCTGATCTTGCTTTTTCTTCTGCTGCCTTCCTGTCACTGTGTTTTACCCTTGTCTCTGTCTCTGTATTAATCTTGATTTCTCTTCCTCCTCGTTTGATCTCTCTCCAACTCTCTTTCCCACCCCATCTGTCTCTGTCCCTCATCCTCCCTGCAGAAGAGGATGCCAGTGGCTCTGGAGGGGGATTCCACTATGCAGATGACTGGAAGGCTGGAACTGCACCTGTGGCTCCTGCTGCCTGGCCTCCAAGGCCACATCACCCTCCTCGAAGGGACAGCAGCAGTGGGGGCAGAGGAAGAGGTGGTCCCCGCTACAACCAGGACAGGAGCAGGAGTGGGGGGATGTCTGTTGGTCTTCACAACTCACCGGTCCTCATTCTTTTCCCCTCAGCCCTGGCCATGCTTGGACCTCGATAACAGGGGAGGGGTGCCCTAGCATCAGAAGGGTTCATGGCCCTTTCCCCTCAGCTGGGCCTGGGGAGGAGTCGAAGGGGGCTACTGAGAGAGTAGAAAAGGGACTTTGCAGGTGAATGGCTGGGGCCCCGAATCCAGGAGATTCCCATTGGTGGGCTGGGGGTGGGTGGGTGTTCACAGTATTTATTTTTTCATTTGGTAATGGGGGTATTTATTTAGGAAAGAAGTGTGATTGCTGTCCTCTAAGGCTAGGGCTGGTGATCAGTACCCCTTCCACAAGAGCGATAAGGGTGAAAAGGGGGGGCGTTTTAGAGTTGCCATTGGGGGATGGAGTTGGAAGAAGTTGAAAGTGGGGAGGGGTGGAACTAAGAGGGTGGGGGGCACCTGGTCTTAGAAATGGACAATGCTGGGTGCTGATGGGATGTAGGGCTGGGGGTTGGTGTGTGTGAGTAGGCTGTGAGGCTCTATGGGCCTGAGTTCTGTTGAGTTTTTTAAATGTCATTTTTTAAAAAAGTAAAATACAAAACAGGAGGGGTGCTCATTGCTTGATCTCTACCATCCACTTCCTTCACAAGGTCCCATTTCATGTTTCAGTGTTTGACTGTTTATCTACAAATAAATGACAATTTACTGGACCCTTTGTGTGCCTTTCTCTGTGTTTAGCATTCCTCCTGAGCCCTGGCTCCAAACAAAGGCCTCAGGGCATCTTGACTGGCTCAGTTTCTGCCTGTTTCTTACCTCTCTTGGAATCTGTCTCCTGGGAGCAGGTCTGGGGAATGACCCCCTATCTCCAGGTTTCTAAGTCTGAGCATCTTCATCCGTAAAACTGGGAGAAATATGGAGCCCAAACAACTTCGAGGAAACACCTTGGCGCCCTGTGCAATTCTCTTTGAAGGCGAGGCATGATTAATATTTCCACACCACTGGCCCCTGCTCTCAGGGTGGGGGCCCTCATTCTCTGGGTGTCAACCTCTACCTCGTCACCTCCCTGACAATGTTTGCTTTCAACTCTCCTCCCTTTCTTTCTTTCATCCTTCTTTTCTTTCTTTCACCTGAATGAATCTTTTGTTCTGTAGAAAGCTGAGAGATAAAGATATAATTGATATAAGTGAAAGGAGGGTGAAAGTTTCTTCCACGGGCAGTCTGGGTGCCCTAACCAGAGGGAAATGTGCAGGGAGGGAAAAGGCCAAAGACAGCATTAGCGATCAAAGCTGGAGCAGCTGCTTGGACTGGCGGGACAAAGGGAGGGGAGGGGAGGAGCCTGGGCACTGAGAAAGTTTGCAAGGAAAGTTGAGCTGAGTGAGGAGCCGGGCGGTGGCTGGGGCAGGCGGGAGGGCCGGACCCGGTTTCCCCGCAGCTCCCCTTCGGGCCTTGGTGAGTGGACGAGTGAAACCGAGGCTGGGGCCAGTGGAGGGACCCCTTGAATTTATGGGAGGACCCTAGGGTTCACAGAGACAACCTCAGAGGACACCAACAAAGGACTGGTGACAGACCGAGCAGTCTCCAAAAGCTGGAGGGAACAGAGGGCTGGGATCAAGGGTAATGGGAAGAGATAAAGATGGATGGAAGTGAAAAGCTGTGACAGGGGAGTCAAAGCCGGATCTTGAGGGCGATGCCAGAGGGGGCAGGTCTCTGGGTAGCAAGTGTGGGTTCTCTCTGGCTGGGGTCACCCCTGTCCCCTCTGGAAGGGGGCTGTCCAGGCTTGTTAGAGGGGCCGAGATTACTGGTTGTAATCTGAAGCGGGTGGAGCCAGACTCCCAGTTAATTAGGAAACTGGGCCTGGGAAGGCAGGCAGCAGCTCCATATGGCTTTCTCCATCTCGGTTTCCAAGGTCAATGTCTGTCTCTGTCTCCGTGGCTTTCTGCCTCTCTCTGGCTCCGTCCTCTCAGTACCTGCTCCTGGTGCACCATCGTGGTTAGAGAGTGGAATGGGAATGTGTGCCCAGGGGTCTTCTGGGTTTCATGCATAACGCCACATCTCCCCCAGCCCCACACATACACTGGTGTCTGTCTTGTGCTGGGACAGTGGGGAGACAAGTGGCTTGCATTTAGGAAACAGCAGCCCATACTAGTTACAAAGTCACTCCTGGAAGTACATCCTCCCCTCCTCCTGATTGCCTCCTCCATTCCCTTCCTAGCCACAGAAGGGAGCTCTTGATCCCCGTTTTTAACCAACAGAGGGGCTCAGAAGGAAGTCAGGGACCCGGCAATGACCTGACCTGTCATAATGAGCAGATTGGTCTGATCTCTCTCACTGGCTGCTTCATCCATAATAAGGGCTCTGCCTTTCTTTCCTTCCGTTTGAAATCCCTGAGGCTCTGGGAAAACTGAGTATGGGATTTGGGGGGACTGGAGACAAGCAACAGGCTGGCAGCAGAAGGAATAGTTGAGGGACCACCTACAAGGATCTGGTGTACAGAGCACCCTTACTCTCCCCTTTCCTAAACTAGGTCTCAGTAGCAGCAGCAGCAGAAGAGAAGTTTCTAGCCATCTTCTTAGACTCCCCTCCTTCCCCCTCATTTCCCTTCTAGACGCTGACAGAGGCAAAAATCTGCTAACTCAGGGGGCAGACTCAACCAGGGCTGGGAGCAGGCCTGGGGAATGACCCCCCGATCTCCAAACGGCGTCTTCCGCGGCTGCACGGCTATCTCAAGCTGTCTCTGCTTGTGCTCCTGGCCCTGGCTTTGTCCCTGTCTAGAGTCCCCTTTCCCTGTGCCACATGGGTCCTTCGTCTCCTGCCAGGACCATGCGACTTTGGGGGCCTCGGAGCCTGGGGGTGGCTCTGGGAGTCTTCATGACCGTCGGATTTGGCCTCCAGCTCTTGGGGGGGGCCTTCCAGAGGAGGTGAGTCCTCATCTTGTCCCATCTCCCAGTAGATGCCTTCCCACTTGTTCTTCCTCCTCTAACCTGGGGCTGTGACTCCTGGGGACTTAGGGGAGCCTCTATGCCCTCTGTTTTTTCTTCACAAGAAGATAGTGGCTTCATTTGCTGGTGAAGGACAGGATACTTCCCTACCCATCTCTTCCCAGGTTACCCAGGCTGCAGCTCAGACAGTCCTGGGCCACCTCCCTGGGATCAGCTGTTCCATCCTGCCTACCCCGGCAGCGACTTGTGTTCCTGAAGACACATAAATCCGGGAGCAGCTCTGTGCTGAGCCTGCTTCATCGCTACGGGGACCGGCATGGGTTGCGCTTCGCCCTCCCCACCCGCTACCAGTTCGGCTACCCAAGGCTTTTCCGGGCCTCTCAGGTCAAAGGCTACCATCCTCAGGGTGGGGGCACCCAGCCCCCCTTCCATATCCTCTGTCATCACATGAGATTCAACCTGAAAGAGGTGAGGGGTTCAGGGGAGTGAGGGGGTGGGGCCAAAAAGAGATGTATTTAGGGTTGTGGCCAAGACCTCCAGGGGAGGGTCTGGGGATCTCCAGGCATCACCTTACCCACAAGTGGACATGGAGGCCACAAAGGTGGGATTTCCTGTTCTTCTCTGCAGGTGCCCTTTCCCCTGGATTTTATGGGTGCCAGAGTGTTCCCCTCTCCCATCTGGGGGTTTACTTCAGTCTCCTCCCTTGACTAACTTATTCCCCTGGTGTCAGTGTCCTGCCAACTTGGATGCACTTGGATGCACTCCCTCCAGGTGTCCCTTGCCCTTCACAGTGTTCACTATTATTACCAGGGACCTTGCTCTGCCATTAGGACCTTCTGACTCATCTTTCTTTCACTCCCCTCACACCAGCTGCCACACTTTGAGATTTTTATGTCAGCTCTATGTCAAGCTCTTGGCTGAGCATGGCATAATAGTTGGACAGAAGTTCAGTGCTGAACCTTGGGACTTTAGTCCTTATGGGGGAGACAAATGGAAACACACAAGGACCCAAGAACTCTTGTAGAAAGACAATCAACATGCAAATGAAAGCATATAGGGAAGGAACTATCCTTCATAGAATACTTTTTAAAAAAATATTTTAGTTTTAGGTGGACACGATATCTTTATTTTATTTTTATGTGGTGCTGAGAATCGAACCCAGTGCCTCACGCATGCTAGGCAAGTGCGCTAACACTTGAGCCACATTCCCAGCCCCCCTTCATAGAATACTTACTGAGTTCAAACTAGAATTTGAACTCAGGTCTTTTTACTCTGAGGTAGAGGCTCCTTCTGAGGACCTGGATGTGTTTTTGTATTTGGAATTGTAGGGAGTCTATTTATCAAATGGAGTGGGGTTTGTTAGAGAAGCAGGATTAAAGGATGGAGTGGACATGGCTTTGAGACAGTAGTGAGTGCACCCACCACTCTTGGAGCAGAGGATCAACAAACATGTGGCTGTTGATGTGCGTGTGAGCATGCACACAGCTGTGCCAGAGAGGTATGTGTAGAGTGTGTGGATGGCAGAACTTCAGTGGGGGTTACAAAGTCCCTTTGTTGAAGCTGGAGGAGTGTGAGGGTGATCTGGTAGGCAGCAAGGGGCTCCTGTTGGGTGTGAGGCAATGGCAGTGAATTTTGAGGTAAGTTTCTTTAGTGGTTAGGATGGTTCCTTGTCACCACCATTCATCCAATACCTGCCATGTTACAGACATGTCCACATTCTCCCAGGTAGCTATTTAACCCAGATTTATAGGTAGAGAAATAAAGGCTGTTGAGAAGCTTATTCATCTGCCCCAAAGTCATACAATTAGTAAATGGCAGAACTGGGATTTTATTCCAGGTCCATCTGATGCCAGAGTGTTCTCTTCACTGTTCCCTTCTGCCTTCAAAGAGACAGTTCAAAGAGACAAAGGCTCTGCCCTTCAGGCATGCCTCTGGAGCAGGTCAGAGAACATCAAGACACAGAGAGGTCAGATTCAACAATGAAAGTCCTTTTTAGAGACAGAAATCCTCAGAGAGTCCAGGAGCTAGATTCTGATGTGGATCAGCCTGAAGAACTATGTAAGGGTATGATCCAGCCTGATTTCCACTGTCCTTGTCCAGACGTGGAATCATGTGTCCCAGCCCTTGGGGCAACACCTTACCAAGGGGCCAGGGCTCCCCAGGGTCCAAGTCCAGGGCTGTGTTTTGCTCTCCAAGGTGTCCAGGAGACTCTAAAGTGTTGCTACCCTGGGCTGCCCTACAGCATCATCTCTATCACCCCTTTTCATTTTCTACTCTCAGACACATCCCACCTCCCTCCTGGGGCGGCCTAAGACCAATCCCTTTCTTGGAACTGAGACCTAGAGTCCCAGAGGAGGCACTCAATAGATTTTTGTTGAAGAAGTAAGCACAAAGTTTGTTTCCTAGAGACTTTACCGCCAGGGCAGTCAGAAAGCCCCAAGGAAATTAATACTCTATGAACTTTGCATACTCCAGTTCTTTTTCTTTCAAATATATATATATATATATATATATATATATATATATATATATATACTTACTTCATATATATATATATATATTTATATATATATATACTTACTTCATATATATATATATATATATATATATATATATATATTTATATATATATATACCTACTTTCCCCCAGGCTCAGTTTTTTTTTCCTATGTGTGTCTTCTCTCCTCTGCAGGTACTTCAGGTAATGCCTTCTGATAGTTTCTTCTTTTCCATTGTTCGTGACCCAGCGGCTCTGGCCCGCTCTGCCTTCTCCTACTATATATATATATATATATATATTTTTTTTTTTTTGTGGTACTGAGTGTTGAACCCTGGGGTACTTTACTACTGAGCTACTTCCCCAGGTCTTTAATTTTTTTTTATTTATTTAGGATTTCACTAAGTTGCTGAGGTTGACCTGAACTTGTGATCCTCCTGCCTCAGCCTCCCAAGTGGCTGGGATTACAGGCGTGTGATGCTCGCCTGGCTCCAGGTTTCTTCATTCCTTTTATATCCTTTATCCTCTATAATCACCTGGGAACCTATAATTATCCCCATTCTGTAGATGAGCAAACTGAGACTTAGAGATGTGAAGTAAAGGTCATCCAGCTACTGAGGGAAGCTGGTGGTCCCCAGCAGAGTTGTGGGGAGGTTGTGGGATCAATAGGGCTTTGGCTGGTGCCTACTTTCCCCCAGGCTCAGTTTTTTTTTTCCTATGTGTGTCTTCTCTCCTCTGCAGGTACTTCAGGTAATGCCTTCTGATAGTTTCTTCTTTTCCATTGTTCGTGACCCAGCGGCTCTGGCCCGCTCTGCCTTCTCCTACTATAAATCCACTTCATCAGCCTTCCGCAAGGCACCATCTTTGGCTGCCTTCCTGGCCAACCCTCGAGCCTTCTACCGGCCTGGAGGTCGTGGGGACTACTATGCTCGAAATTTGCTATGGTTTGACTTTGGCCTGCCCTTCCCTCCAGAGAAGAGGATCAAGAGAGGGAATCCCAAAGACCCTGACTCCCACCAGGGACATGTTTTGCCTTCTGGCACTGGCCCTCGAGCCCAAATCCTAGATCCCAATGCTCTCTTGCAGCCTGTTTCCACTGTTGCTGATGGTCACAGCCAGGCAGTCAGCCCTACCTCTTTCAATTTGGGGTCCTCATCCTTCATTCAGTGGGGCCTGGCCTGGCTGGACTCTGTTTTTGACCTGGTCATGGTGGCTGAGTACTTTGACGAATCACTGGTTCTGCTGGCAGATGCCTTGTGCTGGGGTCTGGATGATGTGGTGGGTTTCATGCACAATGCTCAGGCTGGAGGTGAGCAGGGCCTCAGGGCTGCTGGCACTGGTGGACTAACTGCTGAGGATCAGCAGCTGACGGCTCGGGCCAGAGCCTGGAACAACCTGGACTGGGCTCTCTATGTTCACTTCAACCGCAGCCTCTGGGCACGGATAGAACAATATGGCCAGAGACGACTGAAGCATGCTGTGGCTGAGCTTCGGGCTCGTAGAGAGGCTATGGCTAAACACTGCCTGCAGGGAGGTAAGGCTTTAGACCCCAAATATATCACCAACAGTCAGTTCCGCCCCTTCCAGTATGGGTCAGCTAAAGTTTTGGGCTATGCACTTCGGAGTAGTTTGAGCCCTAAAGACCGGGAGGATTGTGAACGCCTGGCTACCCCTGAGCTACAGTACAAGGACAAGCTGGATGCTAAGCAGTTTCCCTCTCCAGTCTCAATATCCTTGAAGACTTCAAGGCTACTTTCCTCTAGGCATCAAGCTACAGATTAGGACACATGTGATGAGAGTGGGGCTGCCACAAGCAATCTCTGCATCCCTGGGAAAGGATGGAACTTTACCTTGACGTAGACCCCAAGTTTTCTGACCTATGCCTGGGAAACCCAACAGTGCCTCCCTCCCCTCTCCACTTCCCCAAGGCAGGTCCACGTAGCACTCTCCAAAGTCCCCGGGAGGAGTAAAAGATGGAGAGAGCCACAGAAAATTTAGGGCATGGTGAGTTGAAATGATAGGTCCATTTCTCTAGAAAACGTTATTGGGTTATGTTCACTTCGTTATGAAATGTTTGTTCAATGAATAAATGATATGAAACTTCCACTTGATATATGTAGGACGGAAACAGGAGGTATGGAGAATAGTTCAGTGAGAAGCGGGATCGGAAGGGATTTTTTAGTATTTTTTTCCCCACAAGAAGCCGGTCTGCCGTCTCCCACCCGTCTCGCAGCAACCTAACGCACCCCGGCCCCGCCCCCTTCTCCAAGGTCGCGACGCACACAGATCTTGGGGCCTCGGAGGCCACACCCCTCCCTTTCCGCTTCCGGTTTTTCACCAGTCATTCAGCCCCCACCACGATTCCGGCGCCGCGGAGTCTGGGTTCCGGGGTTTGTTGCCCGGGTTTCCGAGCCGGGCTGGCGTCTGGGGCCGGCCGGCTGCGCGCATCACCACTCAGGCGTCGGACCCGCCGGACCCAGCCCCGCGGGCCCCCTCGCTTCCCGCGGGGGCTGGTCTGGGTCCCGGCCCCTCGGCCTCCGGCCGGCCCCGGTTCGCGCCGTCTTCGCCGCCCCATGGAGTCCCAGTGCGACTACTCGATGTACTTCCCGGCCGTGCCGCTGCCACCGCGCGCGGAGCTGGCGGGGGACCCGGGCCGGTACCGGGCGCTGCCCCGGCGTAACCATCTGTACCTCGGGGAGACTGTTCGCTTCCTGCTGGTCCTACGCTGCCGGGGTGGCGCCGGGTCTGGTGCCGGGGGCGGCCCGGGCTTGAGCTCCCGAGGGGCCTGGGCAGAACTGGCAACTGCCCTGGCCGCCCTAGCTTCTGTCAGCGCCGGGGGCGTGCTACCAGGGGGCAGTGGCACCAGCGACCAGGACCCAGAACCTCCAGGGGGAGGGGACCCTGGGGGTGGAGGCGTGTTCCGAGGCTGCAGCCCTCTTCTCACCCACGGCCCGGGCCCTGCTACCTCAGGGGCAGCGACCACGGTGAGGAACTTGGGGTGACACGGCACAGGGCTGAGAGCAGTTTGCTGGGTGCCAAATGCAGTTTGGGAGATGGACGCTGGGTACCTAAGGCAGGAGGCAGATGATAGAGGGGAAGGCATGAAGGACCGTTACTGCGGAAATTAAAGGAAGCGTTTTAGGCCGCCTCTGACTCCTGACCTCTTCACCCCTTTCACAATCCCAGCTGCCTGTGGAGGAACCCATCGTGTCCACAGATGAGGTCATCTTCCCACTCACTGTTTCACTGGATAGACTGCCCCCAGGGACACCTAAGGCCAAGGTAGGTTGAGCCAGGGTGGAGCTGATGTCTTAATTCAGACATCCTTTCAAGGCCCTGCCACGTCTCTCCTCTTGACCATGGTCCAATGTCTCCTGTACCCAGATTGTAGTGACCGTGTGGAAACGGGAGGTTGAGGCACCAGAGGTCAGAGATCAAGGCTACTTGCGCTTGCTGCAGACCCGATCTCCTGGGGAGACATTCCGGGGCGAGCAGAGTGCTTTCAAGGCCCAAGGTGGGAGGAGACTGCAGGAGGGGAAAAACCAGAGTATAGTATTTGGGGGTACAGAGTGGAGGGGTGATATTGGAAAGTGCCTGATGGGGGAGAAGAGGAAGGTGATTACTGTGAGTTGGGGGGAAAGTCTGGGCCCAGCCCCTCATTTCTTGCCTCTTCCTCTTCTGCAGTGAGCACCCTGCTGACGCTGCTGCCCCCTCCAGTTCTGAAATGTCGACAGTTCACTGTGGCTGGAAAACACTTGACCGTGCTCAAGGGTGAGCAGATCTGCTGGCTCAAGTCTTGGGCATCAGCAAGAGAATTGATTAGATGATAGTTAACTTGGGGCAGGCTGATGGGAATGCACAGGCTGATGGGTCAGCTGCCTGGCTGGACTTAGCCCCATGGGAGGGGAGGGAAAAGGAAGAATTCAAGGAGGTAGATCAGTGAGAACAGCTCAGATCTGGTGCCAGTCCCACCACAGTAGGTGACTTATAGTGGGTGGCTCTTGCTGTGTACCTAGTGGTCTTGAGGTATCCTGCTATGCTGAGGCCGACTGGTTACTTCCAACAGTGCTGAACAGTTCCTCCCAGGAGGAAATCTCCATCTGGGATATCCGAATCCTCCCCAACTTCAATGCCAGTTATCTACCTGTCATGCCTGATGGCTCTGTGCTGCTGGTGGACAATGTTTGGTGAGGTCCTGGGGAGGGCAGGGGTGGAACAGGAGCTGAGCTCTGACATGGGGAGTTGTTCATGTCTTGTCCTCTCTTCTCAACTAGTCACCAGTCTGGGGAAGTCTCCATGGGCTCCTTCTGCCGACTCCCTGGTACCTCTGGCTGCTTCCCCTGTCCTCTTAGTGCCCTGGAGGAACACAACTTCCTGTTTCAGCTGAGAGGGGGTGAGCAGCCCCCTCCAGGAGCCAAGGAGGTAAGAATAAAGGGCTGGTGTGTTCGAGGAAAAAGGATAAGAAAAGGCAGTGGAAGGCAAAGGCAAGGGGCTTGACTAGACTGGAGGGGAATTCTGATGCAAGTGATATTGATGTTTGTGTCTCACCTGCAGGGCCTAGAAGTTCCCTTGATTGCTGTGGTTCAGTGGTCCACCCCAAAGCTGCCCTTCACCCAGAGCATCTATACCCACTACCGGTCAGTGTGTGGGGCCCCTACCAGGCACCATCCCGCTCACCTCTGCTGCCTGACCCACATCTAGCTTCCCTCTCTCACTGCTCCTAGCCTGCCCAATGTCCGCCTGGACCGTCCGTGCTTTGTGATGACTGCTTCTTGTGAGTCCCCTGTTCGGACTTATGAGCGCTTCACTGTCACCTACACACTGCTCAACAATCTTCAAGACTTCCTTGCTGTGAGGCTTGTGTGGACCCCGGAGCATGCACAGGCTGGTGGGTCAGCTGCCTGGCTGGACTTAGTTCCATAGGAGGGGAGGGAAAAGGAAGAATTCAAAGAGGTAGACCAGTGAGAACAGCTTAGATCTGGTGCCTGCCCCACCTAGGTGACTTGTAGTGGGTGGCTCTTGCTGTGTACCTGGTGGTCTCCTCAGGATCACAAATAGAGTTTAGAGAGGCATTGGGACAGTGACTTGAAGGGCATGGACAATAAGGCTACATTCTGTGGTATGAGCTCTACCTCTCATTGACTAGCTGTGTGACCTTGGGTATGTTATATTACTCTTTGGACATTGGTCTTCACTCCTAATATTTTATGTTTATTTTATTTTTTGGTACTAGGGATTGAACCTAGCTGCGCTCTGCCACTGAGCTATATCTCCTGTCCTTTTTTTAAAATTGTTTTTAGTTGTACATAACACAATACCTTTATAATTAATTTATTTATGTGGTGCTGAGGATCGAATCCAATACCTCACACATGCAACACAAGCGCTCTACTGCTGAGCCACAACCCCAGCCCCTCCTGTCCTTTTCTTGTTTGTTTTGAGATAGATTCTTGCTAAATTGTTGAGACTGGCCTTGAACTTGCAATCTTCTTGCCTTAGCCTCCCAAGTCACTGGGATTATAGTGTACCGCCACACCCAGTCCTAATATTTTGGGTTGTTATGAAGATCAATGAGTTAATTGGAACAAAACCCAGCACACACTGTATAGCTGTTGTTACCCTTAACCCTTGGCAAAAGACAACATTTCCTCAGTTTGTTCCACAGAATGCTTTGCAAATCAAATGTGACCATGCTGATGGCGGCCTCTGGGAACTGAGGAACTGTCCAGTGTTCACTGATGCCTGTTTCTGCCCCCAGGAAAGCAGCTGTGTGAGGAGGAACGCCGGGCCATGCAAGCAGCCCTGGACTCCATCGTCTGCCACACCCCCCTCAACAACCTTGGCTTTTCCCGGAAAGGCAGTGCGCTCACCTTCAGTGTGGCCTTCCAAGCTCTGAGGACGGGGCTCTTTGAGGTGGGCTAGTGCTGCAGGATGTTGAGGTGGAACAGTCACAGCCCCTAGCTTCTATGGAGGATAATGGGTGGCACTAGAAGGCTGGGCAGAGGGAGAGTGGAACGAGCTCTGACCTGGATCTGTTGAGAGGGAAGGTCTGGGCCCAGAAGCCAGCTGGAATGCTGAGGTGTCTCTCCCCACCTAGCTGAGCCAGCACATGAAACTGAAGCTGCAGTTCACTGCCAGTGTGTCCCACCCTCCTCCTGAGGCCCGGCCCCTCTCTCGCAAGAGCAGCCCCAGCAGCCCTGCTGTCCGGGACTTGGTGGAGAGGCACCAGGCGAGCCTGGGCCGCTCTCAGTCCTTCTCCCACCAACAGCCTTCCCGAAGCCACCTCATGAGGTAGGAAGTGGGGCAGATGTGGCATTGGCCTGGGCAGAGGCTGGAACTAGGGAGCAGGGAGCAGTGTGGAGGCTGAGCAGAGCTCACAGTCTCTGCCTTCTTCCAGGTCAGGAAGTGTGATGGAGCGCAGGGCCATCACACCCCCTGTGGCTTCCCCTGTTGGCCGCCCTCTCTACCTGCCCCCGGACAAGGCTGTGCTCTCTCTGGACAAGATTGCCAAGCGCGAGTGCAAAGTCCTGGTGGTTGAGCCCGTCAAGTAGCACCATGCGGCTCTGCCCCTGCCATATACTACAGAAACCCAAAGCCCCTGGAGGGCTCCTCGCTCTCAGACTGTGCCTCCCCTGGGACACCTCCCACCGTGGGTGAAGAAGCCCAGCAGGGCCGCCTGTCTGTGTCTGCTGATGGATGAGGGCAGAAGTTGTGAAGTGGATGGTGTGGCTGCAGTGCTCCGCCAACAGTGTTTCCCCAAGTTCCTGTGGGGGGGGCTGGCCCTACCCCAGCCCTTCATCCTTGTTCTAAGTTTACAGAGTATTTTCCTCATTCCTATTGTGTCCTTTCTGCCTCCAGCATTCCCTCCCACCCACCCGCAGGGCTGAGTTTAGAAGGTGGTGTTGGTACAGGGATTCTGACGATGACCCTCCTGTCTCAGGGGTTGGGGAGATACTAGGTGGCCTCCTCTGCCCCTCATGTTTACGTTGGCAGCCTGAAGCACTTTAAGTTGTATCTTTTTTTTTGTCTGTTCCTGTAACTTATTCTTGAACTACAGCTTCCAACTGAAATAAGACTATTAAATGCCCATTCAGGAGGGAGAAGAATGACTGTTGTATGATTGTTGTTTGTATGTTGGTGGAAAGAGCAGACCAGTGGGGCTCGGGATGATTCCCTTCAGCATGCACACAAATATCTCCCTTCCTGTCCCTGTTTTTTCAATCCTCAGTTTTAGAATGCCCAGTAGTGGCCCTGTCCCACTTACCCTGGGCTGAGGTACACAATTGTCCAGGAGTTGGAAGACACAAGGTATAAACCACCCAAATGCAGTCCCTCCCCCATACACACATCCTGAGTCTAGGAACATCAGACTCATGTTTATTAGAAGGGAAAAGAAAGAAACCCTTGCCCAAATTCTCCTTAACACAGCATAAAGTACGCAAACCTCTGTTCTTCAGGTGGGGGGTGGAAAGGGGGGTAAGCAGAAGACCCTAGTTCCAGCAGCGAGCCAAGCAAGAAGTGGAGGACACGTGTCTCATCACAGAAGCCAAAGGATCCAGTCCATTTCTCCAACCCTGGCTCTCTGGCAAACTCAGACATCAATGGGCTCCCGGCCTCGGTTCTGCCTCTTCACCACAAACACCCTCTGTCCTGACACAGTCACCAGCAGTGTGTGTTCTCCAAAGACCACTGGAGGGGAAACACCTTCCCCCACCCAGGAGAGGGAAGGGAACACAGAGTTAGTGGGTACAACAACCTCTACAGGGTCACAAGCTGGCTGGGATTGAAAGGCAAAGCAATTCTGTAGTTCGAGGTGGAGAGATTGGAAGAGGCTGCTCTGAGATCTTCCTTCTCTTGCTTACTCAGTCCTGACACTAGGGAATCCCAGAGAGAGAAGTGGCTGAACCACAGACCCAGGAATTGGTGCAATGTAGAAGGAGAAAGGTTTCTTTCCCTAAAACATCTGGAAATATCTCCCACTCCCACCACCGGGGGGCTGGGGCTGGGGCTCACCTGACAGGCGCTTGAAGGGGACACTCATGCCATGATGCAGGCGGAACCCACAGGCTGTACTGACGAGCTCAGAGATGGCGCTGGCTGCCTGCTCATCATTCTCAAGATCCCCAGATGACTGCAAGTAAATGGGGAGGGGAGGGTGTAGAAAATGAGGTTACAGAATTGGGAAGGAATCCTAGGCATAGGCCCTCTGCCTCTCCATGCTTTCCAATACCCGGGGGTCACCCAGTTTTGGAAAACCTGACCTAAAACCTCTTTAATAATAGTCTCCCTTCTTATGCCATTCTGTTTCTCATCCTTACAATACCAGCTTCCTCCACTGAGCAGCAAGCAACTCATCCAACTCTACTGGATTCTCCTCCCCCCTGCCCCCCCTTCTATGGGGTATTGAATACTTAATCACAGAGCCACATCCCCAGTTCTTTTTTATATTTTATTTTCAGACAGGGTCTCACTAAGTTTCTGAGGCTAGTTTTGAACTTGCAATCCTCTTACCTCAACCTCCCAAGCCACTGGAATTACAGGCATGCGCCACCATCTCTGGCCTATCTTCTAACCCCTTGAAACTGAATGCCCTTCCTTGTCCCTATCTAGTGGTAAAATCATTCTCCAAGATTGGTGCCTATCCACAGTGACTTGTTAAAGGCTTCATCTTTTGTCAGTCTTCCCACTTGCTGCCTTGTCTGTAAAATCTGAATTGTAAACATCTTCTTTGTTCTTAAATTACTCCCTCTATTTACTTCTTGGGTGATAATGACAGTAGTCCTGGACTTCTTTCTGTTGACTGTCTCAAATTCCTCTCTTACCTCTGATATGGACTTGTACGTAGGTTTAGTTTAGTTCTCTCTGAACCCAGATGTTTTTTACCTCAGTTTCTTCATCGGTACATTAGGGACAATAATATCTATCTAGTGGACTTGGAAGGGTTACAAGGTATAATACTGGGAGATCCTTAGAACAATCCGTAGCAATATTTACTAACTGCTATTATTCTACCTTGAACTCAATTATCTACAATGGAACCAACAAAATTTTCCCTTATCCACCTCCCTCCCCAGTCAACTTCCTTTCTTGATTTTGTTAGGTACCATGTCATTCTTCTAGGCTTCTCAGTGCAAAGTCTTAGTGATTGGAGAAGTATCTCCTACAAAAGAAGTACCCACAAAAGTACCTAATATCAAGTCATTACCAGGATATATTGATTTCTCTAAAAATTTCTTCTTGCACTATACGGCCTTCAGCCTAGTCTCATACCTAGATTCCCTTCCAGCCCATCTCCATACAACCAACAATCTTGCTCAACCATATCACTGGGTCCTGTTTCTGTAGTATAAATTTTCAAAACTTCTGTTACACTAAAGATTAAATCCAAGGCCTCTTCAATCAGATCCTTTCCCCACAAACCTTTGCAATATCAACCCACAATCAATTCAGATAGGCAGGGTCACAATCCTGTAAATATGTCCAGTTCCCAGCCCTGACTATTTTCCTTTTTTCCCCATCCATTTACAATCATTCATCCTTTAAGTTGAGCTGAACTTCTGCATCCAAGAAAGTCTTCCCATAACACAAGTTATAACGCCAAGGGCTGAATCTTTCATTTTTGGATCCTTCAGCAGTCCAAAACACTTGCACTGTTTTCAACCTTGAACTTTAAGCCTTGTCTCTCCAGAAAGAGCAAATATTTCTACAGAGCTACACTATATAATATTACAGAACAAAATACAAAGATGTCTTCAAGAAATACCGAATAAAGATGTACTAGAGAAAACATCTGGGCATTGTTGATTCTTATCAACCAACCTGAAATGAGTTGTATGACTTTGTAACATTGGTAGACCTCTTTTACCTTGGAACAGTTAGAAGACTAAGATTCCAGAGATTAATTACCAAAAGCTTACGGTATGCCAGGGGGGATACCAGGTAAAAGGACGAAAATGAAGGCAAATTAGGTGAAACTAGGCACAATTAAAAAGGGTTACCCAGCCACGTCACCTCCCTTTCCCAGAACGCACCGCCAGCACTGCACCTTCACTCAGCACCAGGTAGCCGAGCTGGTCTGGGATTCGCTCCAGTCCCTGGGTCAGTGCAGAAGTCTAGTGGGTAAAGATGCGAGCAGTGAGGAGCAAGCGGCAAGATGGACCTCTTCACCTGCAAACCCGAGTCTTTCTCTTGACGATGGCCCCTTCCGGACCCTCTTCCCCTTATGTGTCCTCCTATGCTGATCTTCCTGAGTTTCCATCTGCCCTCTCTGCCCCGGAATCTCCTGGGCCTTCCATTCCCCCTCTTGACTGCCCCGGACGGCCTTCACTGCCCCACACGCCCCTCCGCGCTGCCCCTCTTTCCAGTCGCAGGTGTCCCGCCCCTAACCCGCAGACTGCTCCCAGCCCCTGCACACCCTCCCACAGGTTCCTCTTCAGCCCGCTCCGTCGCGGCTCCTCCCATCTCCATTCCCTCTCCATCCCGGGACCGACTGGAGGTAAGGGTGGAACGCCGGCCCAGGAGGGGGCAACCAAAGACTGTGGGCGCAGAACCCGCAGCGCGTACTCCCGCGCATGCGTCCTCACTCACCATCGCAGCCCTAGGTGCTGGAGGAGCTCCCCACTAGATAGGTAGCTTCCGGCGCCAGGCCCAGGTCACGTGTTCCCAGCCGGCGGTCTCCTCCCTCAGCCCTACGCCACCGGATTTTAGCCACGCCTCTACCCTGTGGATTGGAGCGTTGCTAAGACATTAAATTTAATCAGCCAGTACAGAGCGTTGGATCCCGGAGACTCGCTGAATTGGTCGATTATTCCCGCCCCTCGACGTCGGAGGGCGTGGGTGTCGTAGGAGGGGGCGGGCCCCGGTGGGCGGGGCTGTGGGTGTGCGCCTGCTCCAGCAGTCCTGCCCAGCGCTTCAAATGAGTTAGATTGCCCGCTAGTGACCAGGTCGGTTCCTGGGTTTGACTTCTTCACCTTAAAAGAGGGAGCCTGAAGTGAAATAATGTGAAATGCGTGTAGGAAGCTATTTAAAGTCTATTCATATACCTAACCCAGGCTGCTCTGTGTTTAAAATAGCAACTTGTTCCCAAAGTGATTTTTGTTCCTAGATTTAATGAGGAACGTATGATGGTGAATTGACTATTCCCTGCTAGGAAAGAGTACTTTGTGTCACTTTTAGTGTTCTTACAAACATCACAAAATCTAGGAAATTTTTGTTTTAATTTAGATAATTTCTATACCTGTTGTGATACTAATGTGGCTAATGCAGTATTGATGAGGTAAAAATAAAGAATGATTCTAGAATAATCTAATGATTATTAGAATAATCTAATGATTTAATAATAATAATAATAACAACAACTACTACTACTACTTCTTGGTGAGGATATGGAAAATTAGACCCTTATGCATTGCTGGTGGGACTGTAAAATAGTGCAGTTTTGGAAACAATTCTTCAATAAGTTCAACATTAGAGTTGACATATAACTTGGTAATTCCACTCCTAGGCATGTACCCAAAAGAACTGAAAACATTCCACAGCAAGAACTTGTATATGAATGTTCATTACAGTGTTATTTATAATAGCGAAAAAAGTGAAGCAATCCAAATATCTATCCATTGATAAGTGGATCAATATAATTGGTATATCCATACAATGGATTATTATTCAGCATAGAGTACCAACACTTGCTATAACCTGGATGAATCATGAAAACAATGCTGAATGAAAAGAGGCCAGATACACAAGGCCACATGTTGTGTGGTTCCTTTATGTGAAATGTCCAGAATAGGCACATGCATAAAAATAAAAAGCAAATTAGGGGTTGCCAGGGGATTGGGGGTGGGGGGATGAGGAAATGGAGAGTGACTGCTAATAGGTGTATTTTGTGGGATGATGAGAATGTTCAAGAATTACAGTGGTGATGGTTTCACAACCATGCAAATGTACTAAAAACTGGGGCTGGGGTTGTGGCTCAGCAGTAGAATGCTCACCTCGAATGTGCGAGGCCCTGGGTTCGATCCTCAGCACCACATAAAAATAGATAAATAAAATAAAGATGTGTGTTCAACTACACCTAAAAAAATAAACTTTAAAAAAATGTGCTAAAAACCACCAAATTGTACAATTTGGAATGAAGAATTTTAATTTCAATTAAAAAACCCATAAAGTTCGGTTGCTTGAGGATCCAATTAGAAAAGGTGGGTTCCTCCTTACAAATGAGATATAGTTAGGGATGTAGCTCAGTAGTAGAGGGTGTGCTTAGCATATGTGGGTTCAATTCCCAGCATCTGAAAAAAAGATATATTTATAATATAAAGTTTAAATTTCAGGAGGACATATAAAGAGAGTTTAGTGGAGATGCTTAATTTGCAAAGCCGTGCCTGGCGTTACATATTGATGCCACTTAGTAGGACCATTTTGTTTGCACCTACTAATCAAAGCATTTTCATCCATATGTTCCCCTAATGCTGTTATTAACAACCCAGTAATATTATCCCCACTAACCACCCTATAGTAGTAACCTCATTAACCTGTAATACTAACAACAATAATAATAGTAACTATTAACCCTATAATAATAACAATCCCATTTTGCAGATTAGAAAGTGCAGAGAATTCAAGCACACAGCTGACAAGTGACAGAGCCATATTCTTGTCTCAGTTTTCTGACACTGAAGCTGATGTTTTCCCCATTGTTTTATAAGCTAACTGTGCTTAATTTTTAGAAGCTACATTTGATTTTACCTCAGAACTTCCTGCTCTCGTTTTTACTGATACAGAGGACCCTTCACAGGACCATGCTCATCAGTCATAGTTAAAACTGTTTCCTTTCCCAAACTACTGGACAAAGCAAAGTGCTGTTCATTCAATTCAGCAAGTATTTATTGAGCATCTTCTAGGTACAGACAGTCTTCTTGGAATTGGGGGTATAGCAATTAAATTAAAACAAGTCTTTAAAAATGTTTTGGGAGGAAGAGGTTAGCACACAACAATCAGCAAAATAAATGTGTTAAGTGGTGAAAAATTCTGTGAAGAAGAATAGAGCAGAATTCCATGTATATCAAGTTCAACAACATGCAAAACAAAAAAGTGTATTGCATACATAATGTATTTATGGTTAAAATGATAAAGGGAATGATAAACATAAAATTTGGAATAATGATTACTTCCGGAATAGAAGATGGATGGGTCAGGGAGAGATTCAAAGGATTTCAAAGAATTGGTAGTACTCTATGAGGTTCTGAGTCTTGGTACTGGGGGTTGAGTCCAGATGTGTTTATCCACTGAGCCACATCTCTGGCTCCTTTTAATATTTTATTCAGGGTCTTGCTGAGTTGCTAAGTGCCTCATTTAAGTTTCTGAGGACTGGCTTTGAACTCACCATCATCCTGCCTTAGCCTCCGAGCCACTGGGGTTATAGGTGTGTGCCACCATGCCCAGCTTTGTGTGTGTTTTAAATGTTTTTAATACATGAAGGATTAAATATTTTTTAAAATCTTAGAAGAATAAAGCAGGTCTTGCGATAAAGCAATTTAGCACTATGGAAATGTGTACATATGTTTACCTAAAGACAATTATTAGAATGTTCGTAGAAACTTTATTCCTAATATTGCAAAATTGGAGACCACCCAAATGCCCACCAACGGTTGAATGAAAAAATTGTACCATATTTACACCATGGGACGTCATAGCCCATGAGAATGAATGGACCAAAATGACACAAATGACATGAGTGAATCCCACAAACCTATTGAATGAAAGAAGTCCATCACAAAGGAGGTCATTCTGCCTGATTCCCTTTACATAAAGTACAAAAATAGGCAAAATTAATCTGTGCTGTTAGAAATCAGGATGGGCATTCACAGGGGAACATTGAGGCTGAATGAGAGGGGCACTTTGGGGGGTCTTGTAATGCTCTGTTTCTTTATCTGGAAGTTGGTGTCGTGTGTGTGTTCAGATTGTGAAAATTGAATGAGTCACACACTTATGTATGATAACTTTCTGATTACATATTATATTTGAATAAGTTTTTTTAAAAATCAAGTAAGAGAATATAGACAAGGTGGGTGTGCTATTTTCTATCAGGTGAGCAGAAGTGACCTTTCTGATGAGGTGACAACTGAGCAGAGAGACATTAGGAGACAAGTTGTGCAGATTTCTATCTACCTGAGGGAATATTCTAGTGAGCCCTTGCTGAATGCTTATTTTATTTTAGACTGTGAGTTCCCTGATGGACCTGGCTTGCCTTTGGAATTCCACTATCTAGCGTACAAATCTCTCCTTTTATCCTTTCCTGTGCTTTCTTCTTTTGAAAAGGAGAAAATAAATCCTAGAATGTGAGACAACATGTTTGTATTCACTTAAGCAGTAAAGCTGTCTTCCTTCTTCCTGACCAAGCAATTTCCAAAGGTTCTAATACCTTCTCTCAGCCAATGTGAGAATGTGCTGGAAAATGCACATGCATTATTTACCTCTTCTTCATTCTCCATACACACACAGTTTTTGCTCCACCAAACTCGATCGAAGGGGCTTACATCTCTAGTGTGGCATTCACTACACCTCCGTACAGGTCTTTGCTTGCCTATCTCACTTAGAAGCTGAGCAGCGTGTGGGTGGGGGCCTGTGATACCATCAACATTTTATTTCCAAAGTACATTACTATGAACACCATAGTCTCCAATAAGTGCCGCCTGAATGGACATGACAGAGTTCAGAGAACCAGAGAAGTAGGATCGGGGTTAAGAAACCTGTTGAGGGCTGGGGATGTGGCTCAAGCGGTAGCGCGCTTGCCTGGCATGCGTGCGGCCTGGGTTCGATCCTCAGCACCACATGCAAAACAAAGATGTTGTGTCCGCCGAGAACTAAAAAATAAATATTTTTAAAAAAATTCTCTCTCTCTCTCTCTCTCTTCCCTCTCTCTTAAAAAAAAAAAAGAAAAAAGAAATCTGTTGATGGGGCTGGGGATGTGGCTCAAGCGGTAGTGCGCCCAGGTTCGATCCTCAGCACCACATACAAACAAAGATGTTGTGTCCGCCGAAAACTGAAAAATAAATATTAAAAATTCTCTCTCTCTCTCTCTCTCTCTCTCTCTCTCTCTCTTTAAAAAAAAAGAAATCTGTTGATGGATGTTGATGAGGTAGTAATTGGTACTAGGAAAATGAGAGAGAAAGAAATGATGTGTGAGAGGCAAGGAGGACTAGTTTCAAAGCAATAGCCTCAATCAAACAAAAATAATCTAGATTGAAAAGAAGAATGCTAAAGGAGCCATCAAAGACCAAATACACAAACCGAACAGAAACAAGCCATAAGTTAACTGCTGTATAAGTTAACTAGTGTTCTCCAGAGAAATAGGACCAATATGTCTACCCATCCATCTATCTATCTATCCATCCTTTTAGACTATTGAAGCATTCATTTAATTTTTAGTTTTATTTTGTCATTTTGCCTTTTTGTCTTAAATTTTATAAGTGCATCATATCATACATAATAGTGGGATTCTTTGTGACATATTCCTACATGCATATAAGTTAGTTAATTTCATTTGCCCTGAGTCTTTTCTTCCTCTTTCCCCTCCCTACCTCTGCTTCCCTTACTCTACTTGTCTCCTTTTTATTTTCATGATCTATTGATTTATTAAAAGGAATTAGCTCATGCAATTGTGTAGCCAGCAAGTCCAAAATCTGTAGGATAGGCGGTCAGACTGGAAATTTAAGTAAAAGTTGATAATGTAGTCTTGAATCTGAATT